CCCCCCAGCACCGACTCGGCATGTGTGCTCCGGCCATCCGCACGGCAGCAAACAATCTCAGTCACAACTCAGGTTCAAGTTCGTCAATTGAATATCAAACGCAGCAGCTGGGCTTGATGTCACATCTCAATAACGTTTCGACGCTGCGGACCGAGCAAACGGTGGGAGAAAAAAGAGAAAGAAAAAAAAAAAAGCCTTGGGCCACCGACGATTAGTCTTTAGCCACCTACACGCCTTCACCACAGGCAAGCAAACGCTTCGCTGCTGGGCACGCCGGAATCTGCCCACCATGGCAAGACAAAAAAAAAGCCAGAGAACCCGGCAAGACACAGAAGCCCAAAGCCCAGCCCAAGCAGCCACTCTTCCTGACTGGATCGGCGCCATTGCGATAGGCTCATGGCCCACGACCGAAGCTGCACAAGTCCTGGCTCCACGCAAACGAGCGATGCTAGTGGCCCATCTCACGCATCAATGGCACCTTGAGGGAGCCATTTGTAGGTTTCACAGCAGCAAGCCCCCTGCCCAAAAGCTCCCGGTGCAAAAGCAAGCAGCACTGTGCTGATCCGGTACCCAACATGCTCGTCCGAGGAGCAATAATCAGCGAGAGAGGCGTCTTGTGCCTGTACCTTGTGCCTGTTGTGTGTCTCCGAGATACGGTGTGTGGCTGTCTGCTGTGCTGCTGTTACGAGTACTAGTATTTCCCCTTCCCAATTGCTTCTCTTGCCTACGTACGAATACCACTTTGCATGCGTTGAATTACAAGCATTTGTACCTCTTACACATATTACTCTGTCCTGTTGTGAGCGGTGGGCTCATTTCTGCTTCAGTCGTGGGTTCCTTATACATTTCCCGTGCCTCTTATTCGCCCTTCCCTGAGTGGCCTTGGATTTCTCTATTTATCCCCGGCCCCAGGCCCTTTTTTCCCCTGCTGGTGTGCAACAAACGACCCGGATCTTTCGACAACCTTATTACCCAAGGACCTCTTTTTTTTGTCCACAGCCTTTTTCCTACTGTCTCCCACACATACAAAGAATCAACCCCCCTCCACTCCGTTATCTAGAAGCTCAAAGCATTCACCTCTCCTCCCTCATTGCCCTTTAGTCTCTTTTGCCTTTCTTCACTTCATCCCGAGTTTAGCTGACTGAGGCATCTTGTCATTTCCATCTCGGCTCGCGGCAGTCAGACGAACCACTGTTCAATTTTCGTTCCATCTGTTCTTCTCTTGCATCCTCTGCTTCTTCTTCTTCTTTTCAATTATTCATCCCCATCACTGTTGCGTCGCCTCGGGCGAAACGCAGCATTGCCGAATCATCCACACATCTAGCGGACATCAGTCTCTCTCCCCCCATCTTGCTAGCGACTCCCTCCGTTCTGCATTGCCTCTATTTGAATGGGCAGCTTGGAGAATTGGAGTTCCGACGAGGGAGCCGGTCCCTTGGAGAGGCCCTTTCGCTCCCGCAAACCCCATCGCCAGTCGTCGCATCGTAACATGAATCGCTCAGTCTCCATCCTTTCCAACCTGTCCGAAATATCAGAGTCCTTCGTTTTTGGCACTCGCTGGTATCCCGACGAATCAAAGATGAACCACGACTACTCGTCTGACCTTCGGGAGCCCATGTCCAAGACTTCCGATCCCGACATTGACGACGACTGGTCTGATATGCCGTCTTACAATCCAAAGTCCTCATCCAAGGCCTCCGGCTCCGACGTGGAGAGGGAGCGGGTTGAGCGGCGACGATCAATTAGTAAGTTGGAAACTCTGAAACCTCTTGTCAGCTACCTCCATCGTTTTCTTTGTTTTCTCTTCCTCTTCATCCCTCTTTTTTCTCCATTCGAATGCTTCATTCGCCGATCTATCGACCCACAAATCCATTCATCGCATTCTCTCTCTTCAATTGTGTCTCAGACCCCTTTCCCCAGGGCTCTTGTGGCCCGCTGTCCTCCTCCTCCTGTGTCGCCCTAATACGGACGGGTCGGAGATTTTTCCCTCTTGTCTAGTCATGTCTCAGCCGGTCGCATTCGGTTGCGACCAGCACATCAAGATGACGGCAGCTCCATCCACAAAATCCATCCCACAGTAATAGGCGCCTAGCCCGATTGTCAATCCCCACTGCGATGAGAGCCATCGCGGGGTATCCGGAGCCCATCATCTTGCATGAGGCTCAGGCACGCGACCATCGGGGGCTGGTTTTTATGTGGATTCTGCTTGCCACCATTCCCCTTCCTAAATTCGATCCTCTTTTCTCTTTTCGTCGATTTCTCATCTGAAATACTGTATAAGTATCCATATTTCTTCTTTCCTGCCCCATGATTTCACCGCTTTCTGTCTCTCTCGGTCTTCTCCTTTACGCTCAACTCGGCTCTCTACTCTTCGCCATCTGCTCTTCTTCTCCTAACACCGTCTTCTACAGAACCCGACGTAGACAACGGTACTGGATCTAGCTCATCCGCATCTGCCGGCAGCCGCCCAATCGCCATTCCTAGATCGAGACAAAACAGCTCCGCGTCTGCCATCACACTCCCCGAGGCCCTGTCCGCCAGGGGTGAGAAGCAAGGGTAAGACCGGTCAATGCCAGTGTCATATTTTGCCTGATGCTAACTCTTTGACTACAGTGCTTACTTTCCCCTTCACGAAGATCCCAAGACTCGCGTACGCCACACTCATCCTTTCTATCACGACATCAAGAGTCACACCATGGACCACTCCATTGAGGATGTGGACACGGGCGCGGATGCGGACGTTGATGATATGCCCATGCCGCGGCCCCAATATCACCTATCCAGCTCTACAAGGGAGAGCAACGATTCATACTGGTTGCCAAGCGATGACGATGAAGACAGCGAACCCTTTCGCTCCGCCTCGATGGGCAAGTATTATCCTGGAGTCTATGAGAGGCGCCAGGCACAAAAGAAGAGCGGCCGGCCGGTGGCGCCTACACCAAGCAACAAAGCGTCAGCTTCCAAGTCCAAAACCCCCAGGGCTCAGAAGAATAGACCGAAGCCAAAGACTCCAGTCCTTGAACCTCGGTCTACAACGCCCATCGAAGCCATCCCCCCTTTAAAGCTATCATCAGCTGAGTAACAGTCTCTGTGGTGTAGAAGCTGCCCCGGCCGTTAGAGGGTCGCGGAGCCCAAGTCGCCTCATACTTACGCGACAACTACGCATATAGAGCTGTTGTTCTCCTTTATTAGATCCGATTCGGCACTGTGGAATGATTTACGACAATAGCATTTGGATTTAACTATTCGCGAGCGCAACGGCGGCGATGAGATGGCTGCCCATACACTTTGGCTTATTGGAAACACAGAAAATGTTTTTTTTGGCGATAAATAGGTATTTTTATGAAGAACAAAAAAAAGAACCAATTATTTAATATTTACAGCTCAGAAAGTATACCGTGAGATGCCGCCACTCAAGAGACTACTAGATACTACATAATATTGCATATTCTACAGTGACATCTCGACAAAGTATGGGAAGTTCAACCATCTCCTCCCCAACGAGGTTTAAAGCATTGAGTCTTTTTTTCGATCAATAGCAAAGATTACTCTACTGCTATGGAAGGAGTCCTAGGGAGCTAATGTCGCCTTACTGTACAAATTGAGGCTGTGATGACGTGTAGCTGAACCAGACCCTCAGGTGTAGTTGCGTCCTAACCTACGGAGTACAGGCCAAGCATATGGAGAGACAAGGGAAAATGCCGCAGATTTTTGTTAGAATTTCCGTTGAAAGGCGAATCACTCAATTTTCCCCTCGCCGCGCCTTTTTTTTTCGTTTTGATTTTCTTGCAGCGTGTCCGGGGTCCCGAGATCCATCAACCGATTCTCCTCCTCCGCCAGCCGGAGCAGATCTGCCGGCGTCTGGCCTATGACATGCTCCTTCTCCAGATACAGATACCCAGTGTGGAGTTCAGCTAGCGAAGCTTCGATGGATCCTTCCTCAGACATCACTAGGCATCCATTCGGACTAGGAAATTCAAAGAGCGACACGTGATCTGGCGTCGCGTCATTCGCCTAGCTTTTCGCTTACAGCTTCGCTCTTGCCCAAGTCGCGTCTCGCTACCAGTTGTCCTGGCTGGCTCATGCCTGCACTGTTAGTGATAAGCCTCTACGAGTACAGCTTTCATTCAGCAAGTCACCCCGCCATTCGAGGGTAAAGAATCAAAGTACCCCTCGTCTCACCTCGTGTCACTTTACCTACCTATGATTTCGCAGGGATTTCCTCACGCTGTCTCATCGTTTTTCTCTATGCCTCTGTCGCCTCCTCGCATATCTCCGCCGTTAACACGCCATGTTCCGACCCAGAGGAAACGCTGGGCAGGCTAGACCTACTGGAGCACCAGCCGCAGAAGATACTCATCAGCCAAACTTCCATTCTGCAAGACATGGCGTAGAGCCAAACGCCTCTGCTGCGCCAACATCTAGAGCCGCTCGGCAGACCATGTTTCACCCGGTAGCATCAGCCTCTCGGCTTGCTCATCAAGACGTGCTTCAACCTGTCTCTCAGCCAACGAACAATGCTGGGGCAAACCGCACAATTTCTACACAAACATTCCACAGACCACCGAGATTCTTATCATCAGCGAGAGGAAACCCTGAGCCCATAAATGCCCCTGCCGCATCGACGTCTCGTGCTACACAATCAGGAGCTCGACTTGTCGATACCATTGAATCTGATGACACGCCCCCTCTGCCGGCGAATGCTTCTGCTGCGTCGCAAATTGAGTCCGATGACACACCTTCTCTGCTGGCGGCTGTTTCTTCTGCGTTGAAGTCTCACATCATAAAACCTGCATCTCGACTCGCCGATAGCATTGAATCTGATGGCACACCTCCTCTGCTGGCGAATGCCCCTGCCACATCGGCATCTCGTGTCAGACGACCTGGAGCTCGACTGATTGATAACATTGAATCCGACAGCACATCTCCTCTGCCGACGAATGCTTCTGCCACATCGGCATCTCACATCATAAGACGTGCCTCTCCAATTCTTCAGAGCATTGAGTTCGATGCTCCGCCTCCTCTACCAACATCTCGCAAGACCCGGCGACCCATGCTCCAGCTTTTAAGAGAGGCCGACCCAGCTAATTCTGAGCCCGTAAACATCCTCTCCCACTCAGCGGCTCGCGGCCCTCTGCCATTGCCGTTGCCAGATAGGACAGAGACTGGACGACCTACTGCGCCAACCACATCAACATCTCGTGTCACATATCAGACCGTACCTCAGCCCGTGAGAAACGCCAGGCCAAGTCGTATGCCTACCGCGTCAACATCGCGAATGGTCCAGCAGCCCACGCTTCAGCCCACGCCTCAGTCTACAAGAAATGCTATGCCAGCTCATGCCTCCACCACCCCAACATCAAGGATAGTTGTACAGCCTACGATTCCGCCTACAAGAACTTTCCCAACTCAAAATCCCTCTGCCTCGTCATCTCGTACCTCTAAACAGCATGCATTCCGCCCCGTGAAAAGCACTGCGGCGCCAGTAAACACTCCTGTTTCATCAACCTCTTCTTCCATCCTCGAGTTCATTTGTCTATATTCACATGATCTCCGCCGCAAGAAGAAGAGATGGCAAGACGGAAAGCTCAAGTTCCACACCTTTAACAAAAAATACGTAGTGTATGACGATGGCGGAGGCTTCGTTGGCGATGGACATTGGCAAGGAGATGAGGGCGAATTTACAGAGGGCCTCGAGATGAACCTCGATCGAGGTATGGTCATTGTACAACTCTTAGAGTGCACGGGTTCCAAGGAGCAGGACCTGGGGAAGGTTCTGGGGAAGAGGGCGAGGGAGGTGGAGGAAAGGCGTGTCAATGCTGCAGCCAAGAACCCAGCATCAACAGCTTCGTCGAACCCGGCGAAGAGGAGCAGAGGAACCGCGGCGGTGGTGCAGGCGGCACCGGCCCCCGTTGTCCCTGCCGCCGCCGCCACCATCGCCACCATCACCACCGCCGCAGTTCCTCGTCCCAGCAACGGGGGGGCATGGAGCAAGCATGCCGTGGATTTGCTAGGTATGACTCGGCCACGTAGATAATTTTGCTTTCTTGTTTTATATTTTAATGAGACATGACTGGGACGTTTTCTAAAAACTGTCATAATCCATCTCCGTCCTCGCATTTTCGACCAACTTCCGACCATGATATATCACCAACTTCTCCATCTGGTCTATCGCCAGCCTCAGAAGTTTACCAATCGTTGATTCTTGACTCTGATTCATCTCTCTTTGTCTTTCTCCCTTTTACAAATTGCAGCCCTCCGTGTGATGAGACACGGCGAGACATGGCAACCAGATATGGGTTGTTCTCCGATATCGTGACTCTGGGTACTTTCCATGGCGGCTTCCATACCAGTTGATGCGCCTGTCGAGTTATTCGACTTACCTTTACTGCGAACTCGACAGTGGACTGGACAGTATTTCTACGTCGAGTGATGCCATTACTGTTCGCGCCTGTCGTCGTCCAAATGCGGTCGTCACTGAGACTGTCATTCTGCTGGGCGAGAATATTGCAGACGGCGACCATGAAAATCGATGGACGGCAATTAAGTTGCTGCGATTTCAGTCGTCATTAGCTAAATTTCTAATACTTCTGGAATATCAATTGGATTTGTGTCCTAATCAAATGCGTAGCTTGAGCTGCGATAGAGCATGAATGATTAGCAGTTCATGCCATTGTACACGGATTTCGGGCTTGTGGTTCTCGCAATGGATTTACTACCGTTGCTACACCCACCCATACGACGGTTTTGCGATGGGAAAGCCACGCGGGTTATTTCAGCCATTCCGGCCAAGTGCCTTGTGGAGCGCTCAATTGGCTTCCTTTGATTTTTCCTGCTTCTCGTCCCCGTCTCGTTTAGGTACGGGGATTCGGAGTCGGCTTCGGAGTGGTCCAGATTGCGCTACGACATGTCAGGATCAGCCCAGGATCACCAGTGGGGTTGGCCTAAGCCTTCTCGAGCTCGCCGGAAAACTCGAACCAGCCGGCCGCCTTGAATGCGCCGGCGCGCCAAGCCAATTTCGAGGGGCCGTAGACGATTGACTGACTGTCCCAGCCGGATGGGGCGTCTGGTTGCTCGTAATGATCTTTGCAGCGGTTCTGTTTGGTCGTAGCGGTAGTGCTATTGCTCAGATGATCTTTTCTACCTCTCCTTAATCTCGGGGGTTCAATTTCTTTTCCTCAGTGTGGTTCGACTTCATTTCGACGTATCGGTGGGGGTATGAATCAGGTAATGGACAGGTCTTGTTTAGTCGGGCTCGAAGCTCATGAGATGTAATACATCAGTGTCACTATTGCTGACGGAGGCTCGGGCGAGTGGGTTCGATCGTGATACGTGCGGCTCGTACAGACAAGACGATGCGGTCAGGGAGGGAATTGTTTTTGGATCATGATAGACGGGGGATTTAAGCCGACGATGACAAGGCGACGAGTCCTGGGGCAATCGACCCCAATTGGATGATTCCGACACCCCAGATTGTGAATTCGGCTCGACTTTTGAATATCTCCAACTTGCTGTAGGGTAGTGCAACCTTGGACGTAACGAGAGGGCAGCGTCAGCATTTGTTAGCGCATAGCATGTATATCCATACAACTTGGATGAGCCCGAGCCCGAGATAAAGAGTGAGAGGCGTCAGTGCCCGACTTGGTATAAAGGCTTGAGGCGTCGGCACGTGTCCACTCTTGAAAGACTCAGACCAAGCACATTGTGGTGGCCCAAAGTTTCCAGAGAGAAAACCCAAAGAACTCATGCGGGATTCTAGCTGGGGGGAAGTGCATCAACTTTATTTACTCGGTAGACCTGTAAGCCTTTCGCTTCATCGTTGGGCCGTGAATCTACAGAGTGCTTGTTAATCCTACCACTAGTCCCATGTACGTTACTGAATGGTTATAGATCTAGATACGATACAGCACGAGCACTGACACTAACAGGCGGTTGACGAGTCTGGGGTATATTCGCCTGCTGAGTGGGAGGCTTGGAGGAGTCAGATCAACCATCCATGTATCAAGGCTTGTTCATCCCAGGTACACACCCAGTCTCCAGTACCGCCACGCAGCACCGTTGGGACCGCCATCTGTCCCGTACCCGAGCTTGAATCTGTACCCGCGCCACCACCCGCGTCTGTACCTGGTCGGCGGCCCCCGATAAGCTCAGAGTGAAGCCATCCAACGCCAGAAAAGGGAACTTTTACAAGTACAAGCCCAGGATTGAGTCACTTGCATGTGGCTCCGAGTCCAGGCGGCGCCATTGGCCAATCAGTGAAGCTAAGCTCTCGCCGAGGACCCACCTCGGACGGCGCATCAGGTGGGGTCTTGGACCAATCAGAAGTGAGAGAGGCGGGGCGCTGGATCCCTCAACACAGCCCTATTGGCCAGCTGAGCCCCCAAGGGCGCCTTACGCTAGTCCTTTTCCAGCACGCCGAAAGAGTCAGGATTGCGACTATCCCGCAAGGGCCTCCTTCCCCAAAGCCGCTTTTTCGCAACGCCAGGCCGGACAGTGAAATACCGTCATGACTCCCGACCGGCGACGCCTGAGGAACTCGTTTTTCGTTTTTTCATCTTTTCTCTATTCTTTCGCATCCGAGACTTCCATCACCATTGAGTGATCTGATACCCTATAGTTGGATAATCAGCTTTCGATCTTCATAGCTTAAACCCTACTTGGATTTTGTTTAGTCTTTTCGACTCCAGCGCGCCAGGACCCTCCCCTCTCCGCTCGCAAACTTGGCGCAGCTGCGAATAACCTCTTACCAAACCATCCCATCATTCGTTCAACCCTCAGAATCAGAATTAAAAATCAAAGAGAGAAGCCTCTCGAATTAATCAAATCTCTCCCTCCCTGGCCGTTCAATTGTGTAAGTACTCTGATAAAACCAAAGGCGCCGCGCGCAACGGGGCCTTTCCAAGTGTATCGTGGGCTTACACTCCCATGGCGGGCCAAACAACGTCGAATATTCCACCTTCGCTACGACGCCCTCCCTGAGTTCTTTTATGACTCCCTTCTTCTCGACTCCATCCGAACAGCCTCTATCCACCTCAGCAATGGCTTCTCAGTACTCTTCCAACGCCCCTCTCCCCCAGGGCTTCTCGGTCTACCAGCCTCAGCTTGGCGCTCAGCTTCAGTTCTTCCCTGCTCTTGGCTCACAAGAACTCGATGACATGATGAACGCCTACATCCCCGGCCCGGCTGCTCTCAAAGAGAAGCGAGCGACCATCTCACTCGACTTCTTGGAGCATTCGCAGCTCACTGGCCAGACGTTCAAGTTTTACCCCGTCTACTACTCATCCAGCCCTGTCGCCGCCTCTCCAGTCAACTCAATCGCCACCTCTTCCTTCAACACATCTCCAGTTAACTCGACATTGGACTGGAGTCAGGCATCCGCCTCTCCCTCAATGTCTTCCCGCTCCTCAATTTCCAAGAGCCGCAGAACCTCCAAGTCTAACAACCTGGTGGCTCGCTATTCTGCGATCGATCTCTCAAACCTGCCCGGTATGAAGATCATGACCAAGGATGGTGAGGACGTCACAGATTCTGCCTCTCGAGGTTCCAAGACAAAGGAGCAGCGTGATCACGCACACCTCATGCGCATCATCAAGGCCTGCGATAGCTGTAGACGGAAGAAGATCCGCTGCGATCCCGACCACAAGAAGCGTTCAGCCTCTCAAACACAGCCTCAATCTGCAACAAAAGCAGCAAAGAAGGCACGCACATCACTACCAGCAGCGGCGATACCAGCACCTCAGAAACCGGTGGCTGCTGGTGTTTCAATCTCTAAATTAGACGACAATCCGGGCAGACCGATGTCACTTCTTGGCATTGATCCTACCTTCACATTTGCTGGCTTGGACAGCTTCGAGTCCACTGACCAGATCACCGAGTCATGGGAAGAATTCATCCAGTACCCTCCCGCGGACGTGGAGGACAACTACGACTTCTTCCTCGACCCCCAGGGCTACTTCTCCTCCTCCCAATCCTCTGCCTCCTCCTCTTCTGCCTCGCCTTCCAAGGCGCTTACGCCCGCGTCGCAGCAAGATCTGCTGGCCGTCTCTGGCCTTGAAGAGAGTGAAGGAACGTCGTCACAATCCACCTCACCACAACTTCCGTTCATGCAAGACAACTACGCCGGCTCTGCCAGCAGCTACACCGACTTCAACCTCTTCTCGCCTTCGTCCACCTTCTCCGAGGATGACCGCATGGTTCCGATTTCGTCCACGCGGCTGCTCAGCCCAAGCCAGCCCTCGGCTTCAGGATCTGAAACTGCCTTCTTCGACAGCTTCGATCCAGATGGCCATACGCTTGCAACGGATTGGAGCGGCACGAGTGAGCCAGTATCTCCCCTGGAGACTGGCGGCCTCGTTGCGGCTGCCAACACAAGCCTGCCGTGGTATGATCCGGGTCACAACGCGGTAGCGAACCCTGATCAGGATCCACGCGGCGGTGTCAGCGTGATAACTCCCACTGGTTGGGTAGGCGGTGTTCGTATAGCTCATTCAACGGGTGGTTCTCTGCTTGTTACGATGGAGTCTGGAAGTGGCATGGAAGTGATTGCGAATAGCGTATGTCTCCTGATTCTCCCCATCCTTATTCTCTATTCCGTTTTTATCTGGATGAACAATTACTGACTTCCTCGGAAGGCACCTCCTGGACGTTCAGATGTATCTGAATCCGAGATTGTATCAATTGCGATCCACGGAAGTGTACGTGCCCACCGCGCCCATCAGCTAGATTGCAGAATCGTGACTAACTTTCGAAAAAAGGGCACATCAGTTGATGTTACCACAAGACAATCTGCAAGCACCGCACCGCAGTTCAGCGGCGTACGTTTTCTCTCTCTCTCTCTTCGGCTAGCTTGCGCAATTGCGACTAACTTTGAAAAAAGGACATACAAGATGGATTATTGTACGACACATCGCCAACCGAGCGTGGCAGAATCGCAAGTGTACGTCTTTACTGGGCCACCCATGAACTATGTTGCAATACGGTGACTAACTTTGGAAAAAAGGAAACACCAGCTCGTCATTCATCTTGGTTATCACCCGGCCAAGCCGACGACTTCCGAACCGTATGTCATGCCGCAATCACAGCTACCGCCGCTCTCTTGACGACTAACATGGGCAAGCAGGAACTCACGAGCGAACGTCCTGTCGCGTCCGCATCCGCATCCGCGCCCTCTTCGCTGGCGACCGCCACGAACCGTCCAGTCCGGTTCTCGACGGGCTCGGAAGAGTCACCCGCAAGGGTATGCGATGCCACCGAATCCACAACGCACCGTTCGGCCCAGCTAACTCTTTTCAAGGTCCAACCCGAACTTGCCGCCAACCGCAGCGTGATACCTGGTGCTTCCCCCGGCGTTTCGCCTGGTGGATTGCGAGCATCACTTAGCGAGTCCAATGCTCTACGTGCAACTGCCCATACAAGTGCCGGCGAGGATACTACGGTTCCTGCCTCCTCTACTGCCCTTGCTTGGCCTCATATTTCGGATGTTAGGACTCCTGAGATTCTCAGGAATCGCAGCGGCCTGCCTGCTCAGCAACCAAGCGGCGAGATCAACGTACACCAGCAGTCGTCGGCGTCTCGGAGCGACAACGGAATTCAACCATTGTCGCCCCTTCTCCTGCAGGCGATATCGCCCATGGAGGATGTTCGCGCTGCTGATGAACGTGCCGCTTTGTTTACGAACCAGCCAAGCCAGTTCTCGCTCCGCCAAGTCCAAACTACAGAAGCCGCTGCTGCGATGTTGGTCGCTACTCTTGTTGGCGCCGCGTTCGCTGGCATGATTGGTCTTTCTGCCGGTGTCTCTTTCGCTTCCCTCATCCTCGCGATGGCATCCGTCCTTCAACGCCTTGCAATTCCCAGTGGAGCAAAGGAAACCTTTGCGTCGGCACCATCGGCAATGTCAAGTTCAAGATCCACGGAGCATGCCTACCCTTGGGCTGGCCCTCCCCTACGGAAACACCAACCTTTGGTATCACGAGACAGGACGTCTTGTCTCGCTTCCCGTTTCTCTTCTTTCCTCAATGGAGCCGTTGGCACCGCCTTGGTAGCTCCCGTGTTGGGCTAGACTTGTTCTTGCAGCACATACAGAGGATGCTTGGAGAGATTTGGGCATTCAGACCATGTGTTTCTTTTACTAGCCAATTGGCTAATGATACCCCTTTGCGTGGATTGTATTGGTGTTTGGTATAATACTGGGCAGGATTTGGATTTCCATGCGCCCATTTGGTGTATCATAGAGTATAGCGTGGCATCAGGACTATTAGCCATTTGGCAGAGTCTTAAAATGATATAATACTGGGCTAAAAAAAAAAGCCTAGAATTTTTTATTACTTTTCTCCCTCTCATTCTGTATCTTAGAATGTTTTCCCCGACCGCCTACGTGCAATGATTGTTTGAATTTATTTCTCTAGGTAGCACCTATGCACTGCTGAAAACTTGAGATAGTGAGGCTGGTGATACCTGTGATTCACAGCTATAGCACAAGGGGCCTATTTTTTGGGCGGTGGAGGAGTTGTTGGTAGGCGAACGTGCTTAGTCATCCTATCTGATTCGCTGCAGGAGCTTTCCAGTGAAAAAGGTTCGCCAGAATTTCAAACGCTATAAAAAGCCATGGCCAAACTTTGCATCTCACCCGCGAAGCAAGGTGGGAAATCAGGAAGCAAAGCCGCCCACGACTTTATTTTCTGATGAGCCATCATTTTCCTTGACCTTTTATACCTTCTCTACCAACTACCGCCCTCGCATTTCGAAACCTGCGAGGGTATTTTTCTGCGCCTCGAGGCCCGCCAGAAGAGGCCTTCTCTCTCTCTCACCCTGTTACTATTCAGGCTTCCTTCTGCAAGGCTAAACCGCGGAAGACTTCAAGACCAAGCATACTCTTGACTGCTTCCAAGGAGCAACAAGGTGCGAGAAGATTTCTATTCTTCTTCTTCTTCTTCTTGGCCATGACTTTTCTATTTTCGAGGAAGAAACACTATCTGACACCTCCAGCAGGCATTTCATTCCTTTACGCTAGGACTGCAGAACAAGCCTCTGCTACTCAATACGCTCTTCTGCCCTCCTACACACCAACGAGGAAGATAGACGCAATATCTGCATTTTGTGCCGTCTTTCTCTCTAAAATTCGCGGCATATTCCTGTCGTCATCTTCTCGTCAGCCAAATAGGCGAGAACAGCTCTTTCCGTGACCCAAGCAGACAAAGCAGTCACGCCGTGAGGGGCAACGGGCTGTGAGGAAGGAGCAGGAGTCGAGCCCCCCCCAAAGCAAACCGACCACACCGACTCTTTTACCCATTCCCGCCTATTTTCTCTCATTCAGAGAAAATAGCAACTTTTAAATCCTCATCAAGGCCAATTTTACCCTCGAGGGGACCTGAAGAAGACGCTGTTTAGCATAATTCACCTGCACCGGCCCTAACCCACTATGGCCGCCCTCGGTATCAGGTTAATTAGCCTGGCAGGTGCCAGACGGGCAGTGCGCAGGTGGCTCCGTCGCGGCTTGCCACTTGGCGACAGCTCTGACGAAGAGGACGACGGACAAGCTGTTCCTCCGGCCCCTCCCAACACTCCTGCTGACCTTTCGCTCATCGATGAGGAAGACGAAGACGACAACAACAAACCCGACCAGCAGCCAGAGGAGGAAGATTCCGAGCTCTACTACCTTGAAGACAGCGAGTACGACCAGGACTTTTACAACGACTCGTCCACCATGAGCCTCAACATGTTTGTGCCCACCATCAGCGGCATGCAGCAGGCCGCCGCACCCAAGGCTGAGGAGCGCGAGGAGCCGCAGCAGCCCACTGACCCCAAGGTTGAGGACAACGAGCAGCCTCAGCAGCTCTCTTCCGGCGCCGAGGCTCAGGAGATCGAGCAGCCCCAGCAGCTCTCTTCTGACGTCAAGGCCAAGGAGATCGAGCAGCCTCAGCAGCTCTCTTCTGGCGCCGAGGTCAAGGAGATCGAGCAGCCCCAGCAGCAGCTTGTCGACGACAAGGTCGATGCCTTGACTGAGCAGATGAGCAAGCTCAACGTGGCGCGCACTGACGAGCCAGTCGTCGCTGTGACCAAGCCGCTCTCGGTTCCAGGTGATGACGATGCCACCATCGCCGAGCCCATCGATCCAGCTGTGCTCGCTGAACGCGCCGTGCACCTCAAGTTCATCGGCGAGGCCTTGGACATGGTGAGTACCCGTTTCTTTTTTCTCTGCTTTCCCCATCTTCCATCTTCCATCTTCCATCTCCTCGTCGCAGACTCCCCGCCATGGCAACGTTTTACTGACCAGCGGCCGTTTGCTTCGTTTCTAGGCCAAACTTGCCCTCGTCACCAACGAGACTCCCGTCGGCTGCGTGATTGTCCACGACGGCAAGGTCATTGCTCGTGGCATGAACGCGACAAACGTCACTCGCAACGGAACTCGTCACGCAGAGTTCATGGCCATCGCTGCCCTCATGTCGGTTGCCAAGCCGGGTGAACCCAAGACCACCTCTCTCAAGCCCAACGTTCCTCCCAAGAAGGTCGTCAAGGGCGACGGACAGTCTGACATCTCTTCCGTGGAGTGGCGATCTCCCGACGAAGGTAACGAAGATGGCCGCAAGGGTCACCTGTATCCTTACGGCCAAAAGGAATTGCCTCAGGAGCGCGTTGATGGCAGAATTCTCCATGAGAGCACCCTCTACGTCACTGTCGAGCCTTGCGTCATGTGTGCCTCGCTCCTTCGTCAGGTTGGCATCAAGAAGGTCTACTTTGGAGCTGTCAACGACAAGTTTGGAGGCACCGGTGGAGTCTTCAGCATCCACGCCAATTCCGTGCCCGTTTCCAAGGATGGCCAGACCTGCAGCGCTCATCCTCAGCCCAAGCCTGTCCAGTATCCTGATGGAGGCGGCAGCCTTGGCACTTCGTTCCCTCCTGGCGGTGGCGATGGCGGCAACATTGAATCGGGATTTGAGATTGAGGGTGGCTGGGGCCGTGATGAGGCCGTGGCGCTTCTTCGTCGCTTTTACGTCCAGGAGAACGGCAGAGGTAAGTTGTTCCCCCTTTGTTGATTGCTGCATCACCTCCCCTGCAACAGTTTGCTAACAGCATCCCGTCGTCCAGCTCCTGTTCCGCGAAAGAAGGAAGGCCGGGCCGCTCGCTTGGCTGCCATGATGGAGGCAGACGGAACTGCGCCCCCTTCCACCGGTGCCGCTACCCCAGAGGTCAAAGCGGCCAACGATGTCAAAGACATCAAGGATGTGAAGGATGCTCAACCTACTGAAGGTGGTAAGGATGCCGCCAAGGAGAATGTTGAGCCTCGCAACACTCAACTTGTCAACAAAGGCGAGGAGCCCCTTGCCGAAGAGGCTACCGTTTAGACTGCGCCTCTGATCGCTGCTCTGCATTGAGTCAGCTTCGGTCGAATTACTTTTTGGTACCGTTATCGATGCATTCCGACGCCCATACCCACCCGCCACGGTAATAATTAATCTTGCTTGCTACTTTTACTTGACGTGCGAAATGGAAAAGGGGTCGGCACTTGGCGTTTTATATTCATTCACGGCAACAAAAGCCGTTGAGGGCGGACATTTGCGATTGCTACAGCTGCGAGTCAACCAAGACTGCGTGCATAGGAGGATTATATCCATCGCCCATTTTGGAGTTTGTTTGATATCGTCTTTATTTGCTTTTTTAGCAAGCTTCACACGAAGTAGAGCAGATTTGCGTTACATTCTACATAGAAGGTAGAAATCCAAGACGATTTAAATAATTAACACGAGACACAAGTATATGACTGCAAGAGTGATCCATCCAATACAATTGAAGAGTAAAAAAAAATACTGACGAGATAAACTTATCATGACTTTTTGCACAGGAAAGAAGGGCAAAAAGAAAATTGGATGCGTAATCTGGGAATCGAACCCAGGGCTCCCCGACGTTGCGCGGATGGCAACGGAGAATTTTACCACTAAACCAATTACGCTTGTGATTCATGCACGGACACTCTTGTTTCTCGGTCATGAATGTTTCATGGCCAGCAAGGAAACTTCGGATCAGATTATCGAATTGAAACACAGCCCTATAATTCACCGAGAATAACAGTATATCCTCAATAGCTACCTCTTTATGCGTGAATAGAAATACAAAATTACCTGTAGACTACTTCCAGAGGCTCTTCCAAAGGTTCTTCCCTGCGAAAGCACCAGCTGTTTTGGTCACCGCTCTGCAATTCGTACCCCAGCACATACCTGACCAGATGAACCAGTGTGAAGGGAGAGATGCACTTGACAGGACCACCGGGTGAAGAATCGGCCTTGAGGGTGAGAGTGTCGTATATGGCGCTTTCTTTGGGGGTGAATGGGTTTTGGTGAAGCTCGATGTCCATGACGGGGGGCTATGGGGGATCTGTCAGCAGATGAGTTTGCAGTGTGTAAAGAGCTGGACAGGAGGGGTTCGGAATAGGGATAGATGAGGCTTACTCCCAGCGTCTTGAATATGTGCGTCATCGCGAACATGTGCTTGCGGGAACGACGGCAGTTCTTGCGGAGGTATTTGGCGAGAAATTCGAGGCTAGGAGAGTGGCTGCTGTGGACGATTATGTAGGTCTGGCTAATACTCTGAATGCTGAGATAATATGGAGGTTTGAGGAGAAGCTCGCTTGGATCCTTGACGTCTTGCACTTTAGGAATGTGATATAGTTCGTAGTTGCCAAAGGCGGAGAGCAGTTGGTCCTTGAATGGAAAAACCAGTTTGGACATGTCCATCCTATCTTTTTCTGGGATACAAAGGACGAAACCTAGGTCTTCGTCTGACCATAGGACAGAAGGCGACTTTGCTTGGTATATCTTTGCAATCGTACGGGTTAGTTGGACAGTTTGCGATTTGCCAATCCGTCTCCTGCCTCTTTCATCGATTCCTTTTTCTCTCTCTTGTTCTTGTAAAGGAGAGCGACTCACCTTGATCTCAAGTCGGATCCTGCCGCCTACCTTATCCACCTTGCGAATCATTTCATTCTTCCATTTCCAATTTGATTCCTCTGCTGCGAGGCTTATAAAAGCTTTGCACCAAGCGACAATAGCCTCTGTAACGACATAAATCGTTTGCTGCGCACCATCGTATAACTCGTCAAGCTGGGGATAGTGTACCTCCCACTCACGTGAGCATATCATGTCGCAATTAGTGACATCTTTGATATCTTGTATGAGTGTTTTGACGGAGGAGCCCTCATGCCAGTAACGATTGCCAATGTTAAATCTGGAAAAGTCAAGTACTCGAGAGCTTTGGCGTATAGTTGTTAGCTTGAGGGACAGGTTGAGCAAAGCTGGCAATATTTGAAGAGCTGCATGTCTCTGGATGTTTTGACTCACTTTGTTGTTCCATCCACATGGATGCCATCTTCTTGGACAATATTGGCCATCGCAGCGTGTTCATAAGAAGGCACCGAAAGCCTCACAAACAGCTCAACTGTCTTCCAAAAGCCTTGAGAAGATATGATGGACGTGGTCGTGATCCATGCTTTAATTTATATACACCAGTACCTGTGGATAGGACAAAGGGTCAGTCAGGTATTCATCACCTGTACACATTTGACATTTGTGTATTCTGCCTTTGATCAAGATCAAGATGGCCTGTCAATATGCTGACCAGTCATGAGTGGTATATTGAGTTGGCTGACTTGTTTAATTTCTTCGGTGGCTCTCTTGGCCATTCCTCCCCCTCTTTCTCTCTCTTCGCTCCAACATCTTTTGTGACTCGATATTTCTTTCAACTCACCAAGCAGACAGACTGGCGGAAAGTGGTCGAATATTTGACAGGCTTTTGCCATGATCCGTTGGCTCGGCACTGCCATCCCCATGACTTGAACCTCATGGTGATGGAGAAAAAGAGTTGTAGAAGAAGGCTAGAGGTCAGGAGGAATGTTTTGATGATGTGCTCATCCGAAGTTGAATTGCTATTCACGACGGTTGTGTTTCCCACATCAACCACATCCATGTCCCGCCCAGACAGACCATCTCTTTCTTTCAGCCGTAGGGCGCTAATGACGCGCCGGGCTCGTCTCGATTTGCCTTGGCCTGGGGTTTTATTGCGCTCAGGCCAAGAGGCGTTCCAGTAGCTGAATGTTTAGCCTGATTTTTACGCCGTCGAGAGACTAATGACAGGCGGCAGGCGGACAGGCAGGCGGATTTGACGAGGTGAAAGAGGGCGTTCTTCGATGTATCTCGCGTAGTATAAAGGCCCTGTTAAAGAAGGGCATTCTTCTTTTGTTCAACATTCCAATCTTTGTGATAACCCCTGTCTTTGCAAGAAAAGAAATTAATTCTTTGTCGTTGAATATCTCTCTCCCAATAGACATCATGAGCCGCCTCCCTCCCATCGAGAAGTTCTCGCTCACAGTTCGCAAAAACAGTCAGTAGCTCTCCCCTCAGCATCACCACCCCCAAAACCGAAAAGGGCTCCAGGGTCAATATTCTTTTTTCTTTTCTTCATTTTGTTTCATGTGATTGATATAAAAAAAAACTGACCGCCCACGTTTAGTTCGCGATGAATGGGAGAACAAAAAAGCCGAGTATGAACAAAGGCTCTCTGATCTACTTGGCGAGCCGTGGAAGATCGATATCAATCTCCAACAAGTCTGCGCATATGCCCAGGATGGCTATGCGAAAGATTCACCTGGCTCAATGATTGCTTCGTACGTTGGCGTCACCTCTTTTCCTTTTCGGGAGTAAGCTAATTCGGTCAGATACATTGACGGCGTTTTGTATCAGCTGGATCGCTTCATCGGTAAGTATGGGGAAGAGGGCAAAACCGAGCTCAACACGATTGCCTCGGCGCGAACCATCTCCATGGACCTGGACGAAGACAAAAAGTTTTCCTACTGCGGCTGCAAAATCTCTCCTGCAGGGCAGCTGGTCATTGTCTTTCGCGAAGGATATCTAGGCACCAACATCGATTATGCTTGCTCTCCCGAGAGTCTCGAGGGTGCTCTCAACGAGGCTCCTGGCTCAGCGGTGACTGGCCACCGGCCGATGAGCTTCGTCGCCCGCGCAGCCATTCGAAGTGATTGGGACACCGAGGTGGAATCAATCAAGAAAAAGCTTAGCGAGATCCTCAAGAAGGACATCGCAGTAGTGCCACAGTTCGAGCAGGCCTTTGACAAGCTCAGCGCCGCCAAAGACGCCCCGGATGTCTGGGAGCGAAACTTGGGCCTGTATCTCAAATTGTACTATGAGGGCCTGGTGCACTACCTCGAGTACCAGAAGTTCGGCGAGGATGACATGCTGTACGAAGCATTCAACGAGAGCGTTGACAAGGCGGCGGTTGTATTCCGCATTGTCGACAAGGGCGAACTGAAGCACTCTACCTACAACGAGTGCGTCATCGAGGATGGCACGCTGATTCTCCAGGTAAGTTCGTCGTGTGATGTCAAGGGGCCTAAACCCAACTGCTTGCTGATCAAGCCGTGTTCTAGACTGTTTGCGAGTATTTTGGAACTAATGTCAACGACATCGGCAACAGACTGATGGATCTGTTGTAAGTTGGTGAATGGGTGGTTTGTGAGCTGGGGTCATGCGCCGCCAGAGCTTAGAGTCATACCTGTACCTTGTTCTCCATACATCCCCTGTAGCATAACCATCCGCTGGCAACAGACGGAGTGGAGGCGTTTGAGCCAGCTCCGTTCACCTACAGCTTCGTTACACGTGTTGATGCAGGGTGAGGCGGAAACCTGGCAGCTCTGGTTGGTTGATTTTGGAACCGGCTTACAAGCATGGAGTGCATGCGGCCCACCGCTCAGGTATGAGATGCTTGACCGGCTGCATGTAGGGAGTATAATAGAGGGCATAGGATAGAGAAGCGACGGCAATTCATTCGCCTGTGCAGACGACCGTCCCCAGAATTTGGCTGAGGGCTTTGACTGATTGACCGAATCTCTGCTGCAAGCCGCAGCCCAACTGATGCCAGACCTACAGCGTTTGGCGATTTGAGAGGAAAAGGCATCAACTTGTAGAGGCACCTCTTGGGAACTGACGGTGTGGGCAAACCCCGCGGCCCAAAGGTGACTCGACGCAGCTTCGTCTACATCTCATAGACGTCGCTGGGGAGCTGCACACACCCTTTTTCGTTCTTTTTAAATCTTCAATCTCTCGACACACTCTTTCCTCTTTCCTTTTTTCCGATTCATACACCCAGCCAGCCAGTGTCAGTCTGCAAAGCATTGTGAGACACCAAGTTCATGCATGATTGCTGATCCGCCATGTTTGTATGCTGACAACCTCACCAAGTGGCCCGCCGTTCTGGAAACATGCCGGTATCCAATGCGAACGCACTCGCCGAGAATAGGGCAGCCGCAAAGCGTCAGGCCGTCACCACTGTATCGGTTGTGACGCTCATCTTCATACTGTGGCCGGAGCGGTACATTATTTTTCGAAACCTTTGCCTGGTCCCTGTGCTGGCCTGGCTGACTTCGCTGGTGTTTGATCTAAAGCATGGAGCGTTGGATGCATGGGATGGAGTCCCAGCTTGGTTCAAAAGAATCATCGGAGCAGATGATAACAGCGCCAGCAATAACGCCAGCGGGCCTTCTCGTAGGGGGGCCCGACACCCACAGAGCCAGGACACAACATTCCTGGATTATGTGCTCATGCACCTTGTCGACACGGCATCTTGGATCAAGAGCGAGGCGTTGCGGCTGTGGGAAGTAATTGGGCCGGTCATGGGAGAATGGATTCGCCAAGCCCTCCAGCTGCTCATATCTCAAAGTTTGTGAAAATCATTCATCCAATCGTCTGCCAGATACAGAACCTGGTCGTTAATCATTCCTCTTTCTCTCAACAGTATCAGCAAGCCAGAATTCATCATCTACCTACGCTGAGAAACCGGCTCCAGAGTTCACCCAATTCTATGGCATCTTAATAAAGTCTCCCCGTGGCCCCAGCGCTCCTCCTCCTTTTGCACCTCCTTTTAGGATGCGAGATGCTCCGGATAGGTTCATTCCACGGGGAAATAAGGATTCGACCGCTCTTCCTTCAGTGCTCAGCGCTTGGGATACCGATTCTCGCCTGTCGTTCTGCCTGATTGAAAAGGCGATTTGGGATGACAGAGATTTAACACTGAGGAATAAACTAACAACCGGCACGTACTGGAATATCTCAATCCAGGGACGCGGATACCCTCGCAATGCGATGGACAAGGCCGAGGTTGGACGAATCAGCGCCATCGAGGTGATTGGGCTCGGAGATGGTCAATACGATGCGTTGAAGAAGTCTCACAGGTGTAAGTGTTCTCTTAAACATGGGAACGAAATTTCAACCCATGTCTCACCGGCGATGCTAATGAATTTCGAAAGGCCACCGGCTCCTAAACCAGGACTGGAAGTACACCAAGATGCACTGGGACGATGTTGACTTTGCCGTCATTCTCGCCCTCTTGGTGCTTGGTCCAGCCGCAGGAACGAGATGTGTCCAGCTTTATCGAGCACTTTGCAAACTCAGAGCCGAGCAAGTTGAAGGCCCACGGCGAGGCGCCCCGAGCATAGATCCTTTCCTCATCGCGGCAGCGACGGGGGGATTAGCAGCACCATTTGTGTTGCCGCTGATGGCGGGTGGCCTCGCTGCCGCCGTGATGAAGAGCCGCAATGGCGGTATGCCGGAGCAGAGAAAGAAGGCATACCGAGGCCTAATGGTTCAATTCCCAGAAGTCAAGATGCTCTTTGAGGAAGAGGAGATGGCGCAGAGGGGAGAAAGTAGGGAGAAGAGTATGGGAGAAGACGACGACGACGAGTGGAAGGATGAGGGAGACGATTACTACAACGACACGCTCAGCCCGTTTGATTGGTAGGGCCGAGTGGACTAGGAAAGAGAAATGCGAAAACTATCATAAGTCTGAGACGAAGCTTGTCATTTTGAATTTCTCTTCGTGTGACGTGACAGACAGACAGGACCACGTGAGGCATTACGTGCCGCTATTACTGCGTCTATTTAATCAATCCATCCTCACACCATCAACACTCGAGGTCGGGTGTGAATGTCGAATTTATTGCCTCTTCTAGAAAAGATGTGTGTTGGTCGTCAACATGAAGACACATCATGCAGCAGCCCCGATATTGATCTCGGCCCCCTCCGGCACGCCTCCCGGGACTCGAGTTTGTAGGTACGAGTGACCACTTGGCACGCCCCGAAACAATCCAAGAACGGCGCCATGCAAGATTCATTTGCAACTGTTTCCAAGAATAAACACGAGGCGCCACCCATCTTGTGTAGCTCTGGCCCAGCCCCAGCCAATGCCCTGAAGCATGCCCCAATCGCCCGCTTCTAGTGGCTGCGGGACCTTGCTGATGAGGCGGAGGCGCAGCAGCGAGAGAAAATCCATCCCACTGTATACATGTATCCATACACGATAATGCCCCGTAGCACGGATTACACGTACCTTTTGGACCTTGTAAGATCAATGCTTATGATGATGATTGCATGTATGATGAGGCTTGTATTATGGCAGCTGGTGCATACTAATCTGTACCTACCTAGACATTGAAGCATCTAAACATTGATCTAGAAAACAGAGGTGCACGCCCCCTTATTCAGTGCAGTCGGTACTAACTACATACATGTAGTATCGACATCTTCAGGGGCCAACCCGCCCTGGAACCCACCGCCGCAGCGCTGTCGAGCCCCCCCAAGCTCCCCGTCGCACAGTGCCCTCAGCTCGGCTCAGGGGCACCAATGCCCCCTGGAAGGCACTTGTATCGTCCACTTCTCACTGCTAACCCAAGCACTAGAACACATGGTCATACCCTGAGCGTCCCCACCTCCCAAAAAAAAAAAAGGGTTGCATCTAGTACTGTAAGATCAATCCTCATACAATCGAATGCATCAGCCACAGCAGAAATACATGTATCCTCCGTGCCGTGTTATTGGCAGTACGAGCATGTCATTTTGATTGATTCGCACACCCCCCGAATGCGGCGTCAGTGTCAGCCTCGCCCTGCACGGAGTTTCTGGCGGACCTGCTTTTGGCCTTTGGCTCTTCGCTTTTGGCCTGCGCTTTATTTAACATTGTTTGAATTCCAAGCGCCATCGTCGTCGTCGTCCAACTCGACTCTCTCTCCATCTCCAACTTCTTCTCCCTGCGTCTCTCCGTCGTGTGATTCCGTCGCTTCTCCCGCCCTTCATTCGTTTATCGCGTCCTTGCTCCAGCTCCAGCTCCCGCTTATCTACGAGTACACGACGCCTCCGATTTGATTGAATGATCGCTTGATTGAATTTCAATCGAAGCAGCCCGCCTCCCCCCGTCCGACGCTAGCACAAAGCTACATACATACACCAACTCTCCTCTCGCCGATCGACGAAGCTTGGCCTCTAAAATCAACTCTCCTCTCCTCCTCTTTCTCCTCCGAAGCCTGTCCCCTCGATCGATCCTTCACATCCAAACATGTCTCCCGCCACGATTCCTCCCATCACCGTCACCACTCCTCAGGATGGCCTCTTCTCCGAGTCCCTCATCTCTCCAGATGTCTCTGCTTCATTGCCCCAGGGCTACCAATTGCGAGCCCTTCGCCGCTCCGACTTCAACTCGGGCTTCCTCGATTGCCTCCGGGTGCTGACCACGGTCGGCGACATCAGCGAAGAGAAATTCCAGAAGCAGTACGACAACATGGTGGCTCGCGAGGATTACTACATCATCGTCATCGAAGACACCAGCCGCGAGAAGAACTCCGTCGTGGCCACCGGCGCCCTGATAGTCGAGCACAAGTTGTAAGTTCAAGTTGCCATTGTCCCCAATACCAATACCCCTGATCTCATGCTCGGCCTCAATTACACGGCAGCTAACCCTTCATTCTCCTCTCCAGCATCCACAGCCTGGGCAAGGTCGGCCACATCGAGGACATTGCCGTCTCCAAGGACCAGCAGGGCAAGAAGCTTGGCCTCCGACTCATCCAGGCCCTCGATTTCGTCGCCGAAAAGATTGGCTGCTACAAGAGCATCCTCGACTGCAGCGACGCCAACGAGGGCTTCTATGTCAAGTGCGGATTCCGACGAGCAGGCCTGCAAATGGCCCATTACTACGAAGGAGGCAAAAGTAAATCACACTAAATCCCCTTCCTTTCCCTCCCCTCCATGAACACACGAGAAACACAAGAAACACACACATGAAGAAAAACAGTCATTGTTCTCAAAGAATTACGACGCGTCATATCTGAGTTAAAAGTCTTTGCGGCTTTTTTTTTTTTTTTTTTTTTTGATGCATAGCTGCTGATGGTTTTGTTCTTTTTTCTACGGCGCAGGCAAAATCTAGAAGGGTCCAGATGATTATTAGACGTCAACCAGCATGACAAGAGATGGTGGGATGAAATAGCTGGACAATTAATAGAATTTTTTATTTTACCTCAATGAAAGATGAGCCTTTTGTCTCGTATTGGTGTGCTTCTATGTATTACTAGCAGTCATATTTCATGTTGGTATGTACCGACTGATTGTCGTCGCTTTGCCTGGGCAACAGGGCAGAGAATCTTGATACTTGTGTTGCATTCCATAACAGCTGCTCAAGGAGTAACAGACCATATCAGAGAGCCGGATATTTCCACACAATGTACGTCAGCTATTGACAAGGAAACTAGTATTCTATCATAAATCCTAAATTTTTTTTCCAAATATGCTCCGTACAAGATTCTCTACCGTCCCATCCACCCACCGTCCACCACCAAGACATGCCCGCTCACATACGCACTCGCCTTGCTCGCGAGATACACCACCGTCCCCTTAAAGTCTTCGGGCGACCCCCATCTACCCGCCGGGATTCTCGCGCTGATGCTCGCCAGCCTCTCCGGGTTGTTTAGAAGCGCCGTGTTCATCTCCGTCTCGATGTATCCCGGCGCAATGGCGTTGACCGTGATGCCCTTGGCCGTCCACTCGTTGGCAAACGACTTTGTGACCTGGCCCACGGCTCCCTTGGACGCCGCATAGGCGGGCACGGTGAAGCCGCCCTGGAAGGTCAGCAGAGAGGCGAAGTTGATGATGCTGCCGCGGCGGCCGGTCGCGGCGGAGACGGGGAGGGAGAGCATCTCGCGGCCAAAGTCGCGGCAGAGGGTGAAGACGGAATTTAGGTTGACTTGCAGAACCTGTAGTATTCAAAGGTGGTGTAAGCATACCGTCTTTTTTCGCTTTGTATACTCTGGGTATACAATCCATCCTAGCTATTGCTCAACGGGGCAATTCATTGGTAGAACAGCAGCACGTACATCGTTCCAGTCGTTATCGGGAAACTCCTCGCAAGGATGCCTCCTCTGGATGCCGGCGCAGTTGACCAGAATGTCCACCTTGTGACCAGCGGTGGTGACGTCCTTGGCGATGTTTGCGACTTGCTCTTGCACGGCAAGATCAGCTGTGAATACCCATGCCTTGCGGCCAGTCTTTTCGACGGCCTCTTTTGTCGCCGTTGACGTGGTGTCTCTCTATGTCTACCCTGTCAGCTCAAGCTTTCTTTTCTACCCTGCTACCCCTCTTTCTCTGCTTTCCTCCATCTCCATGACCATCTCTTTTCTCTCTTCACAAATCAATCCAGCCATTGAATCACCCTAATCAGCCCATATCCCTTACCTGGATCAAGATAATGTCTGCGCCGGCCTCGGCGAGCCCAAGAGCGACAGCCTGACCAATGCCTCTGGTGGCACCAGTGACGAGAGCAGTCGAGCCCTCGAGAGAGAATATGGAAGCCATTTTTGAAATTGAAACTCGACGGAAAAATAGGACAACAGAGTTACCAAGAGGAATCTGTAGTCTGAAATGAAGAAAACCAGAAGCCGACCGACGAAAGCAATAACCGACCCCCAACTGACAAATTACAGGGTAAACCGTCCGAGGCTGCGAATGGAGGGGCAACTTCGAAGCTGCCCCGCGATTCTTCAATAACCGACGCACCTATTCCGGCAACTGTTGCCGGTACGGAGCCAAGCCACTCTCCACGTTTGTCTTTGCTTTTAGCATTTCGGCTTCGATTTGCTTGTTTCGATTGGGGACCGGCTCAAGGTGTGGGGTTAGCCTGTCGGCGGGTTGGGGAAATGGCCGGATCGTGTTACTTGGAACGGAGAATTGTTTGCTTACTGCCTTCGATATCGGAGCCCGGTGTGATTTTTGTTATGTCATTGGGTATTGGGCATCTAATGGGCTTTCATGTAGTTTCACATGAGGCGCCGGGATGATGTAGCTAGCTGGGGAGAGGGTTTAAATGGGGGGCTGTGGTTTGGTTTATTCCATCAATCACAATGGAAGCTCCGTGATTCTACGTCCTACATCTACCTATCTGTATCGATACAGCTTCGGATCTTCAGCTGCAGACCAGAGCCCAAGCATCACCTCTCCAAGATTGATTGAACAACCATCATGTCTGTCGAAACAGTCAAAGCTTCCGTCTTACACGGCGAGAAGGACCTGCGCCTTGTATGTTCACCCAATGCAGAATCCTCCATTCCCAGATCAAAGACGAGAGGAAACCTTGACAGCCCAACGCAAGAGCTGACCCCTTTCGAATTATAGGAAGAACGCGGTCTCTCAGCCCCCTCTGCGGACGAGGTCCAAATCGCCGTGCAATCCACTGGCCTCTGCGGATCCGACCTGCACTACTTTGGCCACTTCCGCAATGGTGACATCCTCGTGCGCGAGCCGCTGACGCTGGGCCACGAATCCAGCGGCACCGTCGTCGCCGTGGGATCTGGCGTCTCGAACCTCAAGCCGGGCGATCGTGTTGCGCTCGAGGTTGGCCTGCCGTGCGAAAGCTGCGAGTACTGCGACAGCGGGAGGTACAACATCTGCAGAGGCATGAAGTTTAGAAGTTCGGCCAAGGCGTTTCCTCACATGCAGGGAACGCTGCAGGAGAGAATCAACCACCCTGCGCGCTGGGTCCACAGGTATGTTTCTACAGATTCCGTCCTCTTCTCTTTCTACATTTCTACAGATGAATGTCCATCCTGAATATGGATGCCCAGATGAGCTGACAAGAGACATGAATACACGCACAGACTGCCCGAAACCATCCCCCTTGATCTGGGAGCCCTCATCGAGCCTCTCTCCGTCGCCATGCACGCCCACCGCCGCGCAAACCTCACTTCCGAATCTACAGTCCTCGTCTTCGGCGCCGGAGCCGTGGGCCTCCTCTCCGCCGCCGTGAGCAAAGCCAATGGCGCCACCGCCGTTGTCATCGCCGACATCCAAAAGGACCGCGTCGACTTCGCCGTCAACAACGGCTTTGCGGACGCGGGCTTCGTCGTCCCCATGGCAAGGCCGCAGACGATTGACGAGAAGCTGGCGTATGCGCAGCAAGTCGCGGAGCAGGCCAAGGCCGTCCGAGTGGGTGGCAAGGAGGTCGGCGAGGTTGGCGCCGTGTATGAGTGCACGGGTGTGGAAACTTGCCTGCAGAGCGCAATCTACGTAAGTCGGCTTTGATTGATTGGCCGCTGATTTTACTTTTGATTTTTAACGTGTAGTACATAGGCTACGAAACCTGGCGGAAAGGTCATGATTATCGGCATGGGCACTCCCGTTCTCACTCTACCCATGTCTGCCGCCGCCCTTCGGGAAGTCGATCTTGTCGGCGTTTTTAGATACGCCAACACGTATCCCGCGGCCATCGAGATGCTGTCAAATAAGCCGGCGGGTTTGCCCAATCTGCAGACACTGGTCACGCACCGTTTCAAGGGCCTTGATCAGGTTCAGCATGCGTTTGAAATGGCGGGCAAGATCAAGGATGGGGAGGGCAAGCTGGTGATCAAGGTTGTGGTAGACATGTCATAGTTGGCATTCAGCAAAAAAATGGTTAGAATATCAACGATGTTACGAGTTTGATGGCGGGCGAGAGAGTCTAAAAAGGCGAATAAATGTAAAGATATAACACGGGCTGTATATATGCTAGTTTCAATTCAGTTGTAACCGTTCCTCCACCCCTCCAATTTTATTTACTCTATGACTTGTCAGGGAAGCCAAAGTCGATTCCGAACGGTGGATAGACGTAGCGCTTCAGCTCGCCCTTGCTGGCCAAATCGTCCGAGTAGGCATTCAGCAGCTTCAGGTCCTCATCGTCCAAGGCGACAATCTCCAGGTTGGCCTTGATGCGAGTAGGCGTAACAGATTTTGCCAGCACTGTGCTGCCACGGCTCACTACATGTAAGAGTAAGCAGCCTGCATGTTGAAACAGAAAATAACGGGATAGTAAGGGGGACATACCGTGGTAGCTCAACAGGACGGTTCCTGGAGAAACTCCCTTCTTCTCAGCAATCTTGACGACTGGCTCGGCGCTCATCAGAGGGCTGCCTGTGCTTCCCAGAGGGCTGTAGGCCATGACATGAATTCCGTGCTCCTTGCAGAAATCAACAATCTCTTGTTGGGGAAGGCTGGGGTGGTTCTCAATCTGGTTGACGGCGGGGACAACGGTGGCGTGTGGGATAAGCTGCTCGAGGTATTTCTTGCTGTACTGTTCCGTCTTGTTAGACGAGCACTTGTCAAATTGATCTCCATGATGATGATGAAAGAACACCTACGTTGCTGACACCGATGGCCTTGGTCTTGCCAGTCTTGAGAGCAGCCTCCATGTTCTTCCAGCCATCGACGTGGTTGTAGTCGAAGATGACATCTCGCTTGCCGTTGGGCAGGGTAGGGAACTTGTCATGGTTGCCTATATGCGATGCGAAATAGAATTAGAACATGCTTGTCTTTTTGGGAGCGAGATAAAGCGCGTGCTCTTACCATTGGGGTTCAGGAGAACAGGCCAGTGCTATTCGCGATCCATATCCGTCAGCGTCCATAATGGCCATCATGCAAAGGTACAGGTATATAGCTGTACTCACCACCAGCAGCAAGTCGACGTAATCCAGCCCCAGGCTCTTCAAGCTCTTATCCAGACACTCCTCCACTCGGGTGTTGTACGTTGCCCACACCTTTGTCACGACAAACACGTCCTCGCGCTTCACACCCGCCGCGAAAGCCTCCTTGAGGCCCTCGCCGACCTCGTCCTCGTTGGCGTAGCAGTAAGCGCCGTCGACGAGCTTGTATCCGTTCTGGAGCGCATAGGAAACGGCCGTCTGAACCTCGCCGGCCTTGGACTGCCATGTTCCTGCAAAAGTCGCAATCTCGATTAGCCTTGTTCACCATCAAAAACTGCCCCTCCCCCGCCATTTGACTCTGGCCCCTCCCAGAGGGTGGGTGAGACATACCGAGACCAACAGCTGGCATCTCCAGGCCATTGTTGAGTTTGAACGTAGTGGTAACCATCTTGGCAGTTCTTTTTCTATTCGGGAATTTCAAAGCTTGGTCGAGTACGGAGTATGAATGTTCAAGGAACCGAATCCCCGCGTCTGCGCATGATGGGCAAACGTGCTTCCCTCCATTTTATGAATCAAGACCCTGTCCCCAGCTTCGCGAGCAAACCCCGATCTCGCTTCCCAAATAGGTCGTCTTCGGCGGGCATTCGCCAAGGCACCGCGACCAAGCGTCGAAATGGTTCAATCAAAGACCGGCTTGACTGCGTGGGGGCGCCACAGCCCAGATTCCAGCCAAGGAGAAATCAGTCCGCCTTGATCCAGCTTCGGGTTGCCTTCGGCCGAGGGGGGGCGGCAAGCGGAAAACCGGTGCATTTCTCCGTTCTCTTCGAGGATCGATCGCAGAGCCCATCAAGGGCCAACGTCATGCACGCTCTTAAAGTACCTATGTACGCTTGTATGCACATGTATGTAGTATGCGGTATTATCACATGAAAAGCCGGGGGGCGCTTATTATTACAAAATACGTGTAGTTTCGAGTCGGTAACGCAACAAAGGTGGAGAAGCTTGCATAAAAGACAAGGCAGTTCCTGATGCCAACAACGCCGCGTTGATTCTCAAACACCTCCTTGATGCCGCTGCTCTGTACCTCTATGTAATTCTACAACAGAGTCTGCGATGCGTTGAAGAGTTAAGAAAAGAAAACAAGGGGGGAAAAACAGGACAAGCATGGGAAACATGGAAGATCCTTATACATCGAGACACATGATACATTTTGAAAGAAAAAGAGAAGAGGAAAAGACGGGGGGAAAATAACATGACCGTCCTGTGGTATCCGTACAGCTGCTGCATCTGCGTCGTCTATAAACCAATTGCATTTCTTACCCCGAGACCAGAACCCATAGTCTAACAGCGCATCCCTGTTAGCTTCTTGAAACACACATTTAAACGCCCTACGAGGAGGCATCACTTACAAGAAGAAAATCATCAAAACTCCAAACATCTTGGCGATAAGCCACCGGTTGCTCGATACCCGCGACCAGTATTTCATCAGTTCGCGCTGCGCCCCGTCCACATTGTCCACAACATCTTCCGTGTTGGCGTCGATTCGCTCAATCATTTCGCTCTGCTCGGAAACCATGGTCGCCAGCTGGCTGAAGATTCCTCCCAACTCGTTGATTGTTCTCTCAATGGCCTCGATGGCCTCTCCTCTCTGCTGAATATACGAATTGGTAGTGGTGGCCTCCTCCATCATCAACAACTGCTGGTCGCCCACGGGGCCTGGGTTCAAGGAGAGAGTGTCGTTGCCAGGCGCAGGCGATGCTCGATTTGGAGTTCCGTACAGGGGCGAGGCAGACTGCTGTAGTGACGGCTGTGCATGCTGAGATACTGAGGATATAAAGTTCTCGGTGCGTGACCTCGACGCCTGGATGTTCTTTGTTCGGGCCTCCAACACGTCCTTGAAATTCACAGAGACATCGGTCAACTTGCCCTGAAGCAAGTACACCACGTTTTTGTTGTGCTCGCCCTCCTGGTCGGCCTTGGGATGCTGCTGCTTCGACATTGTTTGCAAGGCACCGATCTGTTGGTTCAGCGACGACAAGTCTTGCTTGATGACGAATGTGAGCTCGTTGATTTCCACCGGCCGGTCATCAAAGAGAGTGCGGCGCTTTGCGACTGCGTATCATGTCAGTTTGAAATTCAATGCCATGCTTCTACTCGTTCCAGCATATGGCCACTCACGTTGCGCCAACTTCTCCAGCTTGCCCATGGTGGCCGAGATGCCTCTTCCAATCTCCGCCGCCTTCCTGGCAAAGTCTGATCTTCTCACCCGAGCATCTCCGTTTGCCGCAGACTTTTGCGCGTCGTTGAGCAGCGATCTCCTCTGCGAGCCCACCTTGCTTGCATTCTGGCGACGCTGGGCCTGGGCGAGGACCGACTTGAACTCGGCGGTTCGGTCCTGGATAGATGCGACAGCCATCTTGCCCTCGTAGACGGTTTTCTGGGGATTATTGGATCCGGACAGCGACCAGCGCGTCTGGCGATTGTAACTGAAGGGGGGCGAGATTGGTAGGGCTGTTTCCACGTGTGCGTTCGAGGCCCCTTGGGTAAGGGTAAGCCTTGAGGATCGAGATCAGGTGGCTAGCCGGGGTAAAGATGATGCAGCAATCTCGGCAAGATTGCAGTTCTCACGGATTAGTTCGTCCACCGTAGGTAGAATATTAAAATCGGACCTCGACTCTGGACGGCTTGGACTCGGGACCAGGTGTTCGGTTCGGGTCGGAAATGGGCGATCCAAGCAGCTGATGGCGGCAAGGATGGATTAATTAAAAGAGGCTCTGGACAAAGTAAGACGTAACTCGAAAAAGGTATAAGGAGCGAAGCCGTCAAATGATGGTTGAGAGAGTTGGATGGTTTCGGTCGGCTGCTAGTTGCGCCAGGGAGATTTGATGAATCCACGTTGCTTCGGATTGCGAGGCGCCACAACGTGCAATATCAGTGGATGGCGGCTCCAAGTAGCTCCCCGGGCCCGGCAGTATGGAGAGATACTTTCAATGTTAATGTTTAATTCGTATTGGCCTTGTGGGTGGGCCGCGGGAAGCTGGGGGGTGTGAAGAGCATAGCCACAGCGAGTTGCGAGGGGGATCTCGATGCTTGAAACACGTGTAGCCTCTACTTCTATGGAACTGTAGCTGCCCTTGCTTCGTAGAGTACCGGATACAGCGTTCATGCGGCTTTCGCCCTCTCGTTTAAGCGTGTACGCTCACCAGCCACAGCGCTGTGACGCGCCAGCCTCTTGCTACTGCAAGAAGCATTTCAGTGTACTTGGCAGTAGTACCTCTGCTATCGCCTGCTCTCCCTGTACTAAGCAGGAGCATAGGCCTCAAAGTGCCACGACGATCCGCGCTTCTTCCTTCCTCTCCTCCTCCTCACCAACTGTGACGATCTCTGATCGCAGCGCCTGTCCGTCTTCGTTGTAACAACCATTTGTACAGTATCTGCCGGCGTCTTCTCTTCGGGCTGTTTCTCGGCCCTTGCCAACCACTTCTCCGCTTCAAGTAATAATTTTCGCAATCGCAAAATCAAAGCAACGACCGTCGCTCCCTTGTCCCATTGTTTGCCTGTTCACGGTGTTCGTTCGTGCCGGCATTCCGCCTGGAAGGGGCGAAAGCATCGCGCAGCCTCCTGTGCTTTCTTTGTGGAAGCATGCTTTGCGATAGACTGTAAAAGGTTTCGCATAGTGACCAAGACGCAATGGAGGACTCGTACAGTCACCCAGTGAAACGTGCCCAGACGTCTCTGTATGGCTTTCCCCCCCCCCCTCTCCCTCTCCCTCTCGCACCACGCTGCTTCGCATTGTCCGCTGACAGACTTTTGATTTTTAGAACCCCCCAAAGTCAGCAAAGTCAACAATCGACGGCCTATCAGGTCAACGTGAGCCGGAAGAAGACGAGGAAATGGGTCGAGGCTAAGGTCCAGAGCTATGACGGCGACGACTGGGGAGCTGACGAGTACGACGAAGAGTCGGATCATGAGCCTCCTCCGCCTCCGCCAATCAACCCCTCGCTGCGCACATTCTCTGGCACCGACCTGCTACACTCTCGCCACAACACTCCTAGCCCGGCCTCGAGCTTGAGTGCGCTGCCGTCTCTGCGAACACAAGCTCAGCAGCAGCAACAGCAATCTCCCGCTGTGCCACCGGCCAACCAGCCTCCGCGCATTGGAGTTACTTCGCCTGTCGTATCGGATGCCTCGACTCGTAGTGCCTCGGAGTCGTTTGCCAGCGGCCATGTTGTATCACCCCAGCCCGTGGCTGCTTTCCAAGGGCGTGAAGGCGACGGCAATCTGTCGCTAGCCGGTATTGCTCAACTGCCTTCACAAGTCCAACAACAACAACAACAACAACAACAAGCTCCCAGCGGCTATGATGTGTCACGCTCTCCCAGCTTTGATCAGGCTATGAAACCCACATCCACGCCTCCGGTTGTCGTCGATCGCTCCGTATCGCCCCAGATTTCCGCACCAGCACCACCACTGCCACCCGCGCAACAACCTCCCCCCATCATCTACTCGCCCGACAATTATAGTCGTCTCCAGGATGACGTGGACCGTGAGACATTAGCCGGGGCATCTGTTATTCCCCCCAGCTCTGGGGCTGACCAATTCACTGTGTCTGCTCCAAAGCCACTCTCTAGCGAGGATAGACGGGATACTTGGGAAAGAGACGACGATTCCTCTCACGGTGACCACCCGGAAAATCAAGGAATCCGTTCAGACTTTGAGTCTCAAGCTGGGATTGACCGTGGACGAATGTCTGTGAGTCCAAAGTTGCCGGATCTTGCTCGCATGTCCGCGTTTGGAACCGATCTCTTCGCCTCCTCATCAAGCAACAACAACCTTTCGAAGCAAACTCCTATCAGTGAAGATCAAGCGGATAGAGGCGAGCCGGCTACTATTCCGGCGGATACCACGGCGGAATCTCGCTGGCAGCCTCCCGTAGCGCCGGCCGAGGACGAAGATCACTCAGAAGCTCCAGGGGGTGCGCCTCTCTCCCAGCCTAACAACCTGTTCCCCGGCAGAAACATTCCAGCTATTCCACCGTTGCGAACTCCCAGCCCCCAGCCGCTAGCTGCAGCCCCCTTTGACCCTCAAGGCACCAAAATCACCCCCACAGAGCCTCTTCAGCCCTACAGAGGAGAACCATTGCCTGATTTTGAGGCCCCTCGGTCGTTTCAAAGGGTGCAGACTTATGGCACCGACACCTCGTCTCCCATGAAGGATAGTCCGTTGAAAGAAAACGACGTGCTTAGTGACGAGATTATGCGAACTCTCAGCCCCTCGGGTGCAACTCCCGCCGATGTCAAGCTCAGCGATGGCCCGCAGCTGCATCCTCCAGAAGACCGGAGCGGCGTCAGGGAGAGCAGTTACACTCTTATGGACTATGATAGCTACTGGGCGGATACAGCAGACGACTCGGGCCCTGGCCATGAGGGTGTGCCGGCGCCGCCAACTGAGAATCTTCAGAGCCCACCGGCCGCTACAGAGCCGCTTTCCGCTCTTTCAACGCAGTCTGGTTTGAAATCGCCCGTCGATACCACTTCTTCTTCTTCACCACCAGCTACGTTAACGTTTGATTCGATTTTCTCTCCTCAACAACCCCAGCAACCACCTCAGGAAGAGCGGCAGCAGCAGCAGCAGCAGCAGGATCGACAACGGCGACAACCGTCTCTTAGACGAAGATTTTCCTGGGAAGCTGAAGAGCAGCAGCGCACTCCAACCACTCTGGCTCAGACTCCCATACAAGCTCAGCCAACTAGTGATGACTCCGCTGCTCCTGCGGTCCATCTCACCGGGCCATCCGGTCAACCATTTGAGCCATCCGTGACGAATTTCAGTACCGATTCTCGTAGCCATAGCCCTGTATCCCAGCTATCGCAGGCACCAACAACGGCGGCGGGATCCGGCTTGGGTGCCTTGGCGATTCAGACATCCAATCCGTCCGGCAGCCTCCCGGGGCATGATTCGTCACTCCCCGAGCCTCCCTCTCCAGTGTCTATTTCTGTGATCAGTGACAACCATTCTACCACTGCCCGTGAACAGGCACGCATGTCCATTGCGGACGAAAAGTTGTTCGCCGACCAGGGCTCCGTCAATCTGGTAACGGGATCTCCACCCCCAGCTTCGGATTCTCACCCGGCCGTGTCTTCACCGACTTCTGCAGCGTCTGTGCCCGCTCCACAAACCCCTGCCCCTAATCCGAACCCACTTGCACAGGCCAAGGCCATGAACTTTCGAGATATCATGGCTCTATCCACGCCTACGGAGAGGATAGCAAAATACACTGAAGCGCGCGAGGCCTTGGCAGCAAGGGATTCCGGCCTGGAGAGCTGGCTCTTGTATCTGACCACGGAGCATCCCGAGCTTTCGGCGTCCATCTCTGCTCCGGGAGGCCAGATGACCCCTCGGTCAAGCAACAACGCCTCCTTGCCGGCGGGATCTCAGGCTTCGGGCCAACAGCCTTATTACCAGCAGTATCTCAACGCCAGCTCGCCAAGCACGTCTGGGCCACAAAGCGGAGGTGGAGGTAGCGGCGGTGGCCGCTCGAGGTTGGGTGGGTTGTCGATGCCATCTCAGATGTCCGGCAGTGCGTTTGGGCATTCGGGCAACCAGATTGGCACAAAGAGCAAGGAGTTCATGCATTCAGCTGGAAAGATGGGCAAGGGACTGTTGAGCAAGGGCAAAAGCAAACTGCGCGGAAGCGGGGACAAGGTATTTCATTGATTGATTTTTTCTCCAGACCCTACTCGCAGTGAGTGGGCCCTCTTTCCTCTTCATTCCCTGGACAGAATAATACTTTCTTCTTCTTCTTCTCCTCTTCTTCTCCTTCTCACCTGTTGCGGTTATTCTTCTTGATACGATTGGCTATCATGAATGACGGATGCTCTGAGATTGAGGATATTTTGTACCCGCCCTTCCTCTTACACGGGACTAAAAATGGGGCATCATGATGTGACGGTGGCATACGAGATAGGAATTACACGGCAACATTTTTTGTTTTTGCCCTTTTTTTCGACGCTCTGTTCTTTGCCCTTGATCCCTTCACATGCCCATTTTCCCGCATACACACCTTCACTTGCCCTTGCCCTTCCCCTTTGCAGACTATCCATACCCATACGATCCCATCTATGCACAGACATGCACACTCATGCACCTCCCCGCCCCCCCTGCCCATGGACGACCCCCCTCCCCTTTGAAGTTATTTATCATGTGATGAATGAATATTAATGCTCTCTTCTTTCTCTGATTAGGTCGACACGATCCCTCCGGACCATCCGATGCCCAACAAAGCGCAACGACGCTCGACATGGCGCTTCAGCCTCGAGCCAAGACCCCGTGAAGATGATCTCGCCCCACATTCCAGCAGCGACATCTCCACGACACCGCCACAGCTGCCCGACCCGTCCCCGGTCTCCCCCTTGAACGCCGCATCTGGCCCTGGAGCCGCCTTTCCATGGAGTGTCTCGGATGACATGCCAGCCCCCGACCCGTCAGCTGGGAGGCTGCCCGGCGAGGTACACGTCACATCGGAGGACTTAGTCATATTCAATTCGTTCCTCCACGGGGCTTATCCGTCAGCAGAGCCGGAGGAGCATATATTCCCCGCTGGCCAAAGGAGCTCTGACTTGAACCCGGAGATGGTGACGCCGGATGATTGGGTCATGGTTCAGCATCAGGGTGAACAGAGCCAAGCTCAGAGAATGTCCACGTCGTTTAGGGCAATGGCTGGAGCAGATGATCAAGCACGGCAGCAACAGAATCAACCCCTAGATAAGTCGGACATGCCAAAGCGCAATTCCTCCTTTATCGGGTTGCCGCCCATCAGGAGAGGCTCAACATTTGGCACAAAATCAAAAGCACGGAGGGCCACGGAGCGCTTCTCCCTAGACGACGAAGACGGTGACGATGGTGCTGACATTGATGCTCCTCCCCTCTCTCCAGTCAGCGGGATTGACGCGTCGATACACCCCCCAGAGGCCGTGACGGGCACGAATCAAGGGGGACGCAATGAAAAGCCTCTGCCTCCTCAGCCCGGGCATGGAGTGCCTATGGCCATGGGCGTAGATCCTGGATTTGGCCAGCAACAGAGTTCCAATGCAGGCCATCACCCTCACCCTCACCCACAACAACAACAACAACAACAACAGCAGCAGCAGCAGCAATATCCTGGTGGACCGAACCCTCAACTTGCTCAAGGCGCGCCCATGCTTGGTAGCCTGGTCCAGAAACTCCCTCCTGCAGGTCCGTGGAAACTGGAAGAGAGCCATCTAACCGAGCCGCTTCACCTAACCAAAAAACGCTCCGGCACAGATTTTTCGCAACAGGATGCCTACTATGGGTACAATAAAGAGCTTGGATTGGAAATCCCTGCGGCTCCAATGCCTCCCGCTCAAGGCCCTCCCGGGCGATTCAGGAGTGATGTACCCCCATCGTCCGCTCGGCGTTATCCAGAGCTGTTTTCACTCCCAGGACAAGACCCACGGCAGTTGGGTCGAGGCCAGGGATACCCGCCTCAGATGCAAGGTCGCCCACCGAGAGAGGGGGCGGCACCCGTGCGGCAGCAACAGGGAGGACCAGACGTTGATGAGCGTGGGCGCAGGAGAAATTCGGGCATCTTGAAAGAGATTGGGACCCGAATTGCGAGAGCAACCTCGAGAGAACGACGGAGCTCTATTGCCGAAGCTAAGCCACCATCTATACAGCTTCGAGGGGATGAGGTATCAGAAGCCAGCATCACAACGGAGGATGCTTCGGACCGTAAAAAGAAGCGAGCCAGTTTCTTTGGATTCACTGGCCGTCCTTCCTCAACGGACCAGACGCTTCGGAAAGAAGAGGATCTGGGCAATCAGCCGCGCCAGCGGGATACACAATCTGCTGGAGCCGAGCCGCCTGCTGATCCCCGCGAAGATCATAAACGCTCCCTCTTTGGTGGTGGTGGACAGCTCAAGATAGGCCCCGGCAATTTCTCTCGTTCCTCAACTTCCAACTCTGCACTGGAGTCAGTTTCTGGGCCCAGTGGTGACGGGGTTCCGCACAAGAGAAGGATATCTGATATCGCCAAAGCTTCCGGCATTGCAGGCCTATTTGGTCGCTCACGTCAAGATCGTTCGTCACTGGGTGCAATGCCTCGGCAGCAGAACGGCGACCAGGCTTTGAACCAAAGAGCCTTGATACCTGATCGACCCCCCATGCAGCTCCCATCTTTGGATTTTACATCGGACCCTCTGGCTTCCATGTCTAGTTTGGGATTCGAGGAATCGTTTCAGATCTACCAACAAGACGAGCACCAGCCACAACCACAACGAGGCCTAGAACAACCTATGCAGACACAGTTTGGCAATTCCAATGCTTTCTCTGTTGGTTCTATGAACCCTCAAGCTCAACAGACTTCTCCGTTACCCACTGCAATTGGAAGCCAAGAGAGGACAGTAGCCTCGGCAGGATTGACTTCTCCTCCTTTCAACCAGCCACCACAGGGCATTAGCCAGAATTCAGAGCGACAGAATCTTCAGAGCCATTTGCCACCCCTTGCAACCGAGACTCTTGTGCCAGTGCAGAACGTGAACGCTGCTGCTACAGAGGGCCAAAACCGTTCCGGCAACGATAGTTTGGAAACCCCATCCGAGTCCCAGTTGGACTCGGCAATGGATGAAAAGACCCCTAGGCTTCAAGAATTCATATTTCAAGAGAAGCTGGCAGGTCTCCAAATTGGGGAGGATAATGTGAGCGAAGAGGAAGTTTTGAGATCACAGACTGTGTCGCCGGATATATCCATTGTATCCACCTCCAAGACGGAGGAGCAAGGCCCTGTTCGATCGCACAGCAATACCTCCGAGCATAGTGAGATGGTTGAGGGGGTTTTGATCACTCCTCCCCCTGAGGGGTCACTTCCATCGGTTGCGGATGCTGACAATGCCGGCCATTCTGCCATTCACCATGGTATGCCGCCGTCAGTCCACTCTTTCCCATCCATTTCTTCGCTCCGTGAGAAATCGGATGCCAAATCTATTCAGCAAGAGGGAAGTTCTGTACACCAGACCGAAGAGAGCGTAGCAATATCACCGGAACCGTCACCTCAAGTTACGAAATCTCAAGTATCGAGCAAAGCCGCAACGCCAATGTCTCAGCATCAACAACTGCACTCACCGGCTTTGGCGACAGTAAAGCTGCCAGAACCACAAAGCGCCGATCTGCCAGCCACTCCTCGGTCTCAAAGTAGACCTGAATCGCAGCCGCGGCTCCTCGACACGGCAGGGCAGAGGCAACTATCCGCTCCGTCATCACCGCTCCCTGCCGGCAACCAACCAGCACAGCAGCAACCAGCACAGCAGCAACCAGCACAGCAGCAACCAGCACAGCAGCAACCAGCACAGCAACAGCCCGTACAGCAACAACTCGCTCAGCAACAACCCGTACAGCAGTATGCTGTACAACAACAGCGTCCTGTACAGCAGCAGCACCTTGTACAGCCGCAGCATTCCATGCAGCAACAGCCGGTGCAACAGCTGCGGCCCCAATATGCACCATCGGTAGGCGCCTCTAATGCGTCCATTGCCTCAGAGGCGTCGACACCGGTGTATCAAGTTCAATCCGGATCTCAAAGCCTCTTCCCGGGGCTTCCTGGACCATTCGGACGCGCATCTACAGATGCTGCAGCGCAGCAGAAAGATAGCCAGGGATCGCGATGGAAAGGACTCAAGAACCGAATGAGCGAGCAGATTTCGCAAAGGTCACAGCCACAGCCACAGCAGCAGCAGCCACCGCAATTACAAAACATGAACCAGAGCCAGAACAAGACTGCCGTTGGAGACAAGATCAAGGGCAACAAGTTACTGGGCGCTCTGAGACGTACATCGAAACAGCCAGAGCTTAACCAAAGCCAGGCCATCGTTCAGCCATCTCCCAGCTCCAGGCAGCTTCCTAACCTGATCCCACAGCCTCATCCCCAGGGTTATCAGCCGCAACCTGGACAGTTGCAGGGCCCACCGCCTAATGGCATGCCTGCTAACCCTCAACACTTGCAGTCATCTATGCAACCACCCAATATGCCGAGGGCAAAGACTATGCCCCCTGGGCCACCACAGCAGAATGCCCCCCCCCGAGACCAGACACGGTCATCAGAGCCGCGTTATGAAAGCGTCCCTATTCCCAGGGGATATTCGGCGGTCCACGGCGAGGGCATGATGGTGCTATCGCCATATCAACCGAATGTTCGACGTCAGTTCGGCCCCCTACCGCCCCAGCAGCAGCAGCAGCAGCTACAGCAACACCCCCATCCCCATCCACAGATGCAACGGCAATGGCAAGGCGGTCATCCTCCACCCATGTCTCAGCAGCCTCAGCCAATTCAATTCCAAGGAAGCCCTCGCATGGTTCAAGGCCCCCAGAACGGGGGGCTGGGCCACTTGAGAGCTCCATCTGACTCACGATCCGATTATCTCAAACCCCAGAGTCCTGAGTCATTCAATACGCAATCGAGTCGGCACAATAGACACAGTTCGCAAGGTAGCCAGAACAGCAGAGCTGAGGGCCCGCGGTCTGCCAGTGACACGGGCAGCAACCTGGGAATGTCACATCCCGGCAGCCCTCAGCCGTCTGAAAGGGGAAATCTATCCGTCATGGACCGTCCTCGCTCTGCTTCACGAAGTCCCGCCGTATCGGTTGGGGCTGACCAGAAGCCTGACTTGAATCCTAGCGCAAAGCCAGATGGAACAACTGACTCAAGCCGGGCGTCGAACCTTGGCATAGATGTAGAAAAAGCTCAACAACTAGTAGAGGATGACCTTTATTCCGCTACACCCAAGGTTGTACCAATCGTGGCAGGAGATTCTGGTAACCCACCCGCCACATCTCAATCAGCATCAAATGAGCAGGCAGAAAGCTCTGCAGTGGCAGCGGGCAAGGCCGTCATCGTACCAGCAAACGCCGGTGCGATGGCAGAGCTAGAAGACACGGAAGAAGCACGGAAGCGAGCCATAAGGCTAGCATCACAGGAGGAGAAGATCTTTTACGAGCCTGAGGATTACGAACCCAAGATGAGCGCAACGAGCTATCCTGGACAAGAGTGGAATCCTTTTGGCGAACCGGAATTTGCAGACTGGAAGGAAGATTGATAGACAAGATTGCACTTGTTTATACGGGTATATACGATACGATGTGGAAGGGTGTTTCCCACTTTTCGTTTGTTCATCCTGATCCCGCTCTGTAATTCTCAGCGGAGCACGCGCGTCGTTTCAGATACCCCATTCACTTTCATTTGTTCGAACAGTTTGATGAGAGCAATTGCTCAAGGAATATTGGAGCCACAGCAAAGACTGTTGATTTGCGATCATGTAGATAGCACACATGTGAGAGAAGATGTGCAGAGCAGAATGCAGTAATAATATATGACATCCTTAACCCTTTTTTAATCTTCAGTTTCTTTCGTCTTCCTTTAATTTCCCTCTCTTCTTTTCCGTTTAGTGAGCACGCAGAGCCACACTCGGTATTCGTGGTGATGTGATGTTCGTCATCATGATCAGTAAATACGGCTTAGGTAACGAGGCGGCACCCCCGGCGAGGATGAAAATGATGACGAAACCGGGGTGCTTGAAGCTAGCACAGCGCCTTGTATGAAATGGGAAATCATGGGCAACATAGTGCTGGTATCGAAAGACGGATGTACCTACTAGGTAAACAGTTGTGGCATTTTCAATGTGCGGGGAAAGCGAGTCGTGTGTATAGAATCTAAAGTGCGTGCCTGAATCTGGCCATTCGATTTGGGCGGGAGAGTTGGAGCTAGTTGCTGGGCGTGGGAGCTCCGATTGTTGACCATTTTGAGTTCATTTTATTCGCTCTCTCTTTGTGTCATCTTTCTGGCTGCCATTGTCTGGCGTAGTATTGCTCCGTGTTGCCTCGGCGCTTGGATGATTACGAACAGGTACCTCGTATGTAAAGTGTGATGGGAGTTGACGGGTCAATTACGAGGTGCCATACGAAGTACGAAGCCCCTACCAATGCGAAGCCCATACTGATACGGGGAGTATTGTTTCTAGCCACTCTTTTCGACCCTTGGAAGAACAGCTTACTCGTGCTAGTGCCCTCCGTGTATGCGGCTAGCTCGGGGTCGTTGCAAGTACAAGTATGGAGAGTACTCCGTCAGCCGTTCCCATATCTGATGCAGCCAGATGACGACATGCTTTGTGCCTGTGCATGGAGCTACCAGGGTTCTCGAAGGCGCGTAATGTGCCTGATGATCCTCGCCGACTTTGGGCAGTGGGTTCGTTTATGGCTGCTGTGAAAGAAGCACTTGTCCATCGCCAGTGAATTGTGGCACAACTGCTGCTGAGCTTTGATGAAGATGGGGAGGTGTTGGTTTGGGGGCAATTGTTGTTACCTGTGGCAGTTGGTTAGGTGACGCGGGAAAGTGACTCTTTGTTGACTGATGCTGTGATGCTGATTGAGTGATATGGGTTGATTCAGTAGCGGAGTGACGGAGGATACAGGACCCATTGGCCCTTCTTCTTTTTAGTCTTGCTCTTTGTCCTGATCTTTGCCCTTCTCTTTTTTCTCGTTCTTTGTCCCGTGGAAGATGGAATGCGCACCTGATCTGTTGCTCAAAGCAAGCAAGGAGCTGGTGATGCTAGGTATCCAAAGGCTGGACAAAGAACAACCGCCCACTATATAATTTCCTCTCCTTTCTCTCCCTTCGTTTCTTTGAAGCTGTACTCTCCATGATGACGCTGTAGCATGACATTTAAAAGCCAGGTTCCCTCCCCCAAAACGAGGTCGATCAAAACCTCCATCAGAGCTTTTCATGCATGTCGGCTCCAGCGCTCACAATCGACTGTAATGCTCCAGAACCAATCTCGATGCGCATCTTTGCTAACAAAAGTTGAAGGATGACTTCAGTCTTTATAAAATCTTTTATCTGGTAAAGGAACCGCTCCGCTAAGATGGAGTGTCGTGCTACACGTATTGAAGATGTGATGCTCGGCGTGAATCTCAGCCAGGACACCATAAACACTCTTTGTGGTGCGATTTCCAAATCTAAAACGCGGCTACTTGATGGAAATCCAGTTGAAGGGGTTGAAATTCTCACGGGGGGGCGTTTTTGCCTTGCCCTGTGCCCCCCGTTTGGTCTTCAAGATATCGAATGAACCCGATGGATCTGACCTGAGAACTCGCTGGGGATATGCCAAGGGAACTGCCGAAATAATTGAACAGCACAAATTTGATTTGGTTGTTCTGCCCCCACAGACTTACTATATACTGACCGATGGACGACGACACCATCTCATCGCCGAGGAACGACTGTCACTGACCGCCAACCCCTTTGTACACAAGCAACTTTATGAATCGCTCGGTGCACGCCTTGAACCCGCACTACGGCAGCTCGTGGCCTTCATTCTCGCCACCGGTTTTCGTGACGTGGATTTTCGATACATTCCGATCCTTGACAAAGGACTGACGACAGCGCCTGAGGCTACCCCGAAGATTGAGCTGGTGGATTTCAGCGATCTTGGCAGCATCGAAGGAGGTCGCCCAACAGACTTACCATGAAGCTCTCTTTGGAAAAGGTCCAACTCCGAGAGGCTTGTTTCGAATGTATCGTTCCAGAGCACTTTGAGTTTCTTAGAGCCGAACTATCGAAGCATCAGGTGACGCTCGACTTAGCGGCCTATTATGAGGCTTGGAACGACCGCTGTCATGATTTTGAAGAGGCTCACCGCATACACAAAGAGCATCATTGAAACTGTTGCGACGGCCCTATCCATGGCTCTTCCACCGAACTTGACGCCTATCACGGCGCCTCTTGAAGCCTTCAATGGGAGCCCTCAACTATATTTGGCACTTCGGCGATTCTGGGCCGAGTCCATTGATCAACCAGACCTTGTTTTGCGCGGCATCATGATATTAAAAGCGAAGACGAGATTGCTGGCGGTACTGGCCATGTCGATCCAAGGGAGCGTCGCATCTTCAGCTACAGATACTACGTCCCCCAGCCAGCGTGTAAGTGAATTCTGCAGCAATGACAGGGCGCAATTGGTGAACAAGGCAAGACTTGAAAAGCTCACGGATGGAGGTGGCTTCTTTTTTGGGGTATCGCAGTGAGCAATTATTTCGAGGAAGAATACTGGGACGCAGTTGGCACGCTGAAAGATATTGGAATATTGCCCAATTATTTGGGCTCCTTCTAACGCCCAGTGGTCAATGGGCATTATCTTGGTAGATGTAATAGTATGGGCTGAATAATACATTTTCTGTTTAGAACTAGACGCCTTCGGATTCTTCTTTTCAACGGAAGAACACTCGTTTCGCCTTTGAGGCGTGAAGTCGGTACATGTAGGAATGAGTACATGTAGGGGTAATATACTGGTAGTAGTCACATGTACACTGCATGTAACGCTAGACATCGAATGCTATTACTGTTCTCGTTGATATAGGTTTCAAGACGGTTAACACCTGTAGTAGTAGATACTGGTCTTTTTGATACTTGATACTGCTGGGGCATCAAAACCGACTTCGAGGCGCGTCAACCCAGTGCGGCTAGCTCGGGATCGTGCAAATGAAGGTAAGCAGTTTCCTGTCTTATGCAGCCAGATGATGGCATGCTTTGGAGTTACGAAGGGCCTCGTACCTGCTACTGACGTGATACGAGACGGGGCCGAGCAACGTGTCTGATGATCCTCGTCGGTTTCAGGTAGTAGTGGCTTTCATCAATGGCGCTGCGAAAGGGACAGATTTGATGGATCTAATAACGCTCCGTGCAAGCACTTGTTAGTAGCGAGCAAATAGTCGCACAGCCGCAGCTGAAGCTTGTACATGTATCTATTGAAAGTAGGTACTTGTAGGAGCAATGACACCTGCTGTTAGTGGACAATGCGAAAAGGGCCTTTATTGATGAGAGATGCGTTGGTTCGGGGACAATAGCTGTATCTGTGGCAGTTGGGTCGTAACGCGGGGAGAGGGGGCCATCTGTTGACTGATGCTGTGATGTGCTGTTGATTGAGTGATACTGATTGAGCGGCCGAGCGATGGAGAACACCAGATCACTTGGCCCTTTTTTCTTCTTTCTGTTGGGTGATTTGATGCGTGTCTGATGTGTTGTTTGAAGCAAGGAGTTGGTGATATCAATAGTTTAAGACGTGAAGTCAGTAAGAACAGGTATTGACTACTAGTAGTACCTACTAAGGTAATAGGTCTAGTATACAAGACATCAATAACACATCCATCGGGTACTTGTACTGGGCCCGGTAATTGGTAGTACGAAGTATGTACAGTAGTATCTGATATTGATCCATCGGATGCTTCTGGGGCAAAGCAGAGAGACCACAGAAAGATGCCGGGGGATGGACTAGAAGGCGGGTCGGCCTTGGGCCCCCCTGTAGCTAGGAACACCTGACGCTCTTTTCCAGGGCTTGGGTGCGCTGTACGCGCTGTAAGGAGCAGCAGCTCGACGTGCCATTATGGAGCCGGACGCATGTAGGTACATGTATGTACATGTGATGTATCCAGCAGCTGCATGCTCCTTTTAATATAGTAGGTTAGTAGCTGCAGGTTCCAGCAAGTACCTACATAACTCGTACTCGTACATGTACAGTAGATACCTCTCTGGAGGCATCCAATTGCCCCCCCGTTCAAGTAGCAAGTCCATATACGATACGATATTACCGCACGGCATTTGCCAAAGCTTGAGCTTTGACCTCTTTAGCCGCCCGCCCGAGGTGCTTCTACAAGGGGGGAAGAATAAGAGTGTGCAGGTGATATTATAAAAAAAAAAAAGGGAAAAAAAGGAAAAAAAGGGAAAATGAAGAGGAAAATGATCGAGACCGGTGCCAAGAACTTGCGCAAGCGGCCGGGTACAAAGTACATGCGCCGATACGGACCGCTAGCTGCAGCGTCCCTTGCTGCTAAAGTACCCGGTACGAGGCACTAGTGCGTGAATACGGGAGCGGGCCCCTAGCGTCAGCCATTCGTCATATGTGTTCAGCATGTTCAGCTTGTGACTGAATGTCTCGACAGCAAGAGTTGCAGTACTAGGCATCCAATCTACTTATGATGATAATTACTTAGTGAGGAGAATAGGTAAGAAGAAGAAGAAGAGGGGAAGGGGGAAAAAGAGGTGCACAAAGACGCACCAGAGATAAGATACTGTATCTACACTCTCGCCTCGACTACCGAATCCAGCAGGGCATCCGGTCTTTTCGGAAAGTACTGCCTAATGCGGGTTAGGGTTATCGGGGAGCGTCGCAAGCAACAGGTGCTTTTGCATTGTACCTTTTGCAGGTACCGAGCACCTTCACTTTAGAGGTACTCCGTGCTGGTACCTTGTTGCACTTTCGCATCTGCAGTTTTAAGCGAAAGCACATCACATACAGAATCCCCGGCTTCTACTTACAGCCAGTACTTTTTGATTCTCGACGCCTTCATCCTGTCCCTGGCCTTGTCCTTGTCATTGTCACGGCCACCGTCACGACCACTCTCACTGCCACTGTATTTCCTTCTTCTTGTCACTCCTCCTCCAATGCTTAGTACTTATAGCACTGACAGCCACGGAACAGCGACGATACTGGCTATATCTCCCCAAACACAGCTGTCAAATCCAAACCACCGCCGGTCATACGGTATCCTACACGTACGAGTGCTCGCAACAAAAAGCTGGGGGCCCTGCTGCCAAACGCGCGATCCCTTGACTCGCCTCTTGTTCCACCTTGCCCCGGCTATCTTGGATGTACCAAGCCATCCATGTGCCTCGTGGAGCTGCGTTGCTGCATCAGATTCTCCACCAGCTAGGCCAGAGCTGCCCTTGGCAAGAAAAGAGCCAACCGGACCAGCAGACCAAGTCGACCGAGGAGAGGAGAAGCCTAAACCTGGCAAACTCCAGATCGGCTGGGCCGCTTTCGATTGACGTATGTATGTGCACGTCAACCTATCATTGCATTTCGCGTCGTAGGTACATGTAGTAGTCAACATGGCAAACAGTCCTCTAGCCGTGCTAATACCTACCAACAGTACTTGGCGACTACTACTACTAGAACGTTATTATCAAGCCTCTCCCCATCTCCATCTCCATCTCCATCTCCCATCTCCCATCTCACATCATCCACATCCCAGCCGCCGCTCTCCTGCTCCTCTCGTCGTCCTTCTCCTCACTTCGGGCACGGCATCACCAAGACCAGCAGCGACGTCGAACCGGGGGCTCGAATTCTGCCGAGTGACACTCCGCCACCGGGCCTTGTCAAAAGCCCACTCCATTGGCCGGAAACGAGGCTTAAGCGTGGCGCTGCCGCTCTCTGGTATCCTGCCCACCTGGAGACTGGCACCATCACAGGAGCTAGCACTCGACTAGTACCTGCTAAGTACTGGGTAGTCCAGTGCGGCTCGACCAAGGGAACGAGTCCTGGCGGCCCTTTTTTCGCCTCCCGCGCAAAGGAAAAGGCGCCATTGGGGGAACAAGGCAAAACGACTCGCAGAAGGGAGGCTATTCGCCCGCTCCCTCTTGAACCCGCAGGCACCCCTCACAATACGCCTGCTTGCCGTTCCGTTTCTTCTCTCAGCTCTGCTTGTCGAGTGCCAATATCAAACCCCTTGCGAGAAAAGAAGAAGCCCCGACGCGAGCATCACCACGACGAGGGAGAGCAAAGCCCAGCCGCAGCAACGAGACGGCGCCGTACTCGTATACAGAACGCGCCCTAGACCCTTTTTCGGCACCCTTCCCACGCCCGTTTTTTATTGCACATCCTTGGCTTGTGCGCTGCCAAATCTTGTCTGTACCGTGCCGCGCTTCCTTTTCCCGACCGACCTCCTTTATTACTCGACTCCGTAATCCGGCTTCCGTCGACGCCGCCTTAGCTCTCTCTGTTCCTTGATTTTCTTTTCTGGTTCTTGCCAGTCTCAGTCTCAGTCGCAGACTCAGTCGCTCTCCCTCACTCTGTTAGGTCTCTCTATCAGATCAGCCTCTCGCTCACTTTTCTTTCCCCCATTCCTACGGGCCTCCGCACCAACTGTTCTGCGCGCGTGCGACGCCACATAGCGCTTGGCGCCATTTCTCAGCTTTTTCGTCTTCTCTGCCTTTCCTTTTGGATTCTTTTTCTTTTCGATACCTGCATAGTACATCCTTACGCACTATACCCGACTGTACCGTACACTATATTATACTTTTTGCAACCTACAACCTTTATTATTCCGATTGCGGCCAGCGACAAGCCAGTGCTGGACTCTAGCTTGTTAGCTCCTCTGCCAGTCTTTAACTTCTTTTTCTCCATTTTCCTCTCGACTTTTCCTCCTCAATCTACCTACAGGAGGACATTCCAAATCGACTTTCTTTCCCCTCCATCTACCTCTTCTTCCGCCGACAGCGACACAGCGAACACGAATACGGAAGACGCGGACGGCGATAACAGTGACGGCATCGCCCGCCGAAAAATACCGAGCGAGCGAGATAGCCCAGAAGGAAGGAAACGCTCGGCTCATCTAGCCTTCGGCTTCGAGGAAGCATCAACTATGGATTCGTACGTCATACATGCATGCATCGTCCCTCTTTCCCTCTTCCGCCGCCCCTGCCCTACGATTCTTGCCTGCATCGGTTTATTCCGAGTCTACTATTGCCCTTTTTGATTTTCTTTGATTTTTTATTTTCCTATTTTTGATTTTCGATCTTCTGTTTCACCCTTCCGTATTCCAACCTCTTGTCGCATCTTCATCATCTTTCTTTCTTACCCGTGGATCATATTTTTTTTACGAGTGTCTCAGCTTCGCGCGATGCAAAGAAGCAATGGAACATCCTACTAACAACTTAATCACCAGCTTTATCCACGTTGCCGGCTGGTCTCAGCACTTTCCCTCATCGTCAGCCAGATCACTCAGCCACCTCCGGTCAATATCAACTGTACCAGGAACCGGTGACGATTCATCGTCAACATACAGGCCTCGACCGCCGCCCAAATCGCCGTCGGTTTCGAATCTGCCCATCATTTCATTCGCGTCAAGAGCTGCCTCATACTTCCCCTCCCACGAGATGAGCACACTACCCGATCCGCGAATACGAACCGCCAGCTCGTCTAACAACGGACTCCGGCCTTCAACTGCACACCCGGACCTAAGCAAAACCGATGGCGATGGCGCTTCTACCAACTCTCAACATCCCGGACTCAGCGACGAAGTTGCTACGCTCAGCACAAAACTTATCAACGCCATCAACCACCAAACTGCACTTGATGATACACTATCAGCGACTCGTCATGAGCTCGAGAATTCCCACGGACGCATCCGCGAGCTGGAGGCCCAGATTGCCTCTCAGCGCGAGATGATGGCCGGTGACGTCTGGATCCGCAAGACAACGTTGGACAGCGAGCGAAAAGTCTGGTTGACAGAGAAGAAGTCAATAGAAAAGAAGCTTTCTGAGGAGACAACAGGCCGAATAGAAACGGAGAGGGAGAAGCGAAAGATTGAGCAGGAGCTGGAAAACCTCACAACAGCTCTCTTCGAGGAGGCAAACAAGATGGTCATTGCTGCCAAGGAAGACGCCCAGTTCCAGCATGACGTGTTGCAGAAGAAGAACGACCAGCTCAAGGCTCAGCTCGCAGATTCCGAGAGCCTTCTCAAGTCTCAACAGGAGCAGCTTTCCGAGCTGAAGCACGTCCTCGAGACCATGGTGATGGAGCGCGACGACCAAAGCAACAACAACAACACAACCCCGTCAACTCCAGGTGTCGAAGCCAAGGAGGAAGACAAATCTCTCCAGGAGAAGCCAATGCCATCTGCTCCGGGACACCACGCCGAAACACACCATACTCCGGCCCCTCCGACCAGCCTTACCCATCTTATCCAACCTGTCTTGCGGACCGATATTGCTGGATATGAGGATTTTGTCGCCCTCGCTCGTCTTTCGCACCAGCGCCCTGGAAACCGTGGATCCGCTGGCTCTATTGGCGGATTCATCGGACTAGGCGGCTCAACCTCCAGCGCTCACCTCTCTAATGCCTCTACCTCGTCGTTGAGCGCCTTTTCAAACCTCGCCCCAAGCACTAGCAGCAGCACGCCGCAATCTCCAAACGCATCCGCAAATGCAAACGCATCCATCACCAGCGCTACATCGACTCCTTCGACGATTCCCCAACTCAAGGACACTCGCTTTTTCAAGCGCGCCCTGACCGAAGACGTTGAGCCCACACTGCGTCTTGATGCCGCTCCAGGATTGTCGTGGCTGGCTCGCCGCACTGTCTTGGCTGCCATGGCCGATGGCTCGCTGGTGGTTGAACCAATCCCAGCGCCGCCGACGACTCCAAGCTTCCTCCCCGTCCCTAAGCCGCAGTTTTATCCCTGCTCTTTGTGTGGCGAGAGTCGTAAAGATGCAGAGTACCTGCGCACTTACCGCTTCCGGACAAGCGAAACTGATTCTGCGCAGCGATATCCTCTTTGCGGCTACTGCACCGTTCGCGTTCGATCCACCTGCCAGTTCCTGGGGTTCCTTCGTATGGTCAAGGACGGATACTGGAGGGCCGACGATGAAGAGAACGAGAAGGCCGCCTGGGAGGAGAGCGTGCGTCTGAGGGAGCAAATGTTCTGGGCTCGCCTGGGAGGTGGTGTTGTCCCCGTTTCCCATGGAGAGACACACGCGGAGGCGTCCCACAGCCGTCAGCCAAGTCAGGAGCGGGCCATCGATGCCTCTACCGATGTGTCAACCAACGTTCACGTTCCCACTGATGTGGAGATCCCACCCGAAGCTGATGTGCCGGCCGATGCTGATGTCTCAACCGACGTCGAGACGTCAACCGATGTTGACGCATCTACAGACAAGGAGGAAGATGCCTCCGTTGCCGACACCAGCTTCGACACAGCTCCCCCCTCAGAGATTGAGGACGATGACACTAGCGAGTTCGACTTGGAACGCCGCGTTTCTACGGATGAACCTCACACACCCCCGGACCAGACTGACGGCACCAAGCCTCTCCGCTACTCGGTTCAGTCCCTGACCCTGAGTGCTATTAGCACCTCGGGATCCGAGGCCACCAAGCGCCTGTCTACGACCACCGTCATCGAGAACTAAAAAGAAAAAGGAAAACCAAAAAAAACCAAAGAATCACAAGTGGCTTTCTGAAAGATTCCCCCTTATTTTACACTATTTTTTGTAATGCTTTCGTCGCCTCTTTTGGCTATAATGTATATGTATATTAATCAACGGCGAGGTGACGTCATGGCCTTTCACCCGAAGAGAAGCCCGAAGATTTGGATGGGATTGGGAGGAGGCAGGGGAAAGGGACGTTAGAATGGCAAGCATATTTGGCAATGGCTGGAGGCAAACGATTTGAATGCTGACAAGGAAACAAGAAAAACACAGGTCAAGTATGATGGCGTTTTTTTTTTTTTTTCATTATCAGGTTGGACACGATGGATACAGGGCCTTTGGGAAGAACTGGCGAAAATGGGCTAAAGGGCATCATTAAGCTTCTTTGTTCTTCTCCTTTTTTTTTCTCATTTCGCATTTCTTCTTTTACGAATTCTTCCGTCTCCCTCAGATTGGCCCTCTTCTGTTTTTGCTGTTGTTTATTTCTTACGCTCTTTTGATTTCTCACCTTTTTGACTGCTATTGCTTTTAACTGTCATCATTTGAAGCGGGCGCACTGCGGAAAGCATTTTGGGAATGCACGTTTGTGCACCTTGCCAATTTCATTTTGCCATTACTAGAACAAGGGCCAAGAAGAGTTTTTATTTCCTGGAGACGGAGAAGGGACGGGCCGTTGAAAGCGGCTTCTTTGCGGGAATCCATATACCTAATGAGATAGATGTATTAGAACAAAACATGGTATCTTGATATTATTTGGCTTTTACCCTGACAACGTGACTGGTGTAGAGCAACGTACCTTCTTTGATATAATGTTTACCGAAAAAAGTCGAGAATGTTGGAGACGACAACATTCGGGATCTGTTCTGGGATGAAATGGCCGGAGTCGACAGCTTCCACTTCGACAGGAACACCTTCGGCTGTAACTTTCGTCCACTCCTCCTTTCCGTCAAAGAGACGGTTGACAATGCCATTCTTGCCCAGCAATACCCTAATTGGTGATCGGATCAGCTTCCCCTTGGTGAGGTCATCCTTCTGCTCGTCGAGGTCATGCGTTGCGCCGGCGCGGTAGTCCTGGCATGTGGAGTGGACGTAGTCCTCATCTTCCATGCATTTGATGTACTCTGCCAGGGCATCCTTGTGAAACATGGAAAGATTGTGGGACCCCAAGCCAGACATGAACCCCTCAACGACCTGTCGAGGGGCCCCGTTGATGAGGGTTTCGGGGAGAGGTGACTGCTGGATCAGGAAGTACCAGTGAAAGTAGGCTTTTGGGAACTCGGGGTTTGTGCAGTTGTACATTGCCAAGGTAGGGCATATGTCTAAGAGGATGGCCTTGCGGACGCGTGTGGGATGATCGACGAGGAGCTTGTGAGTAACACGGGCACCGCGATCATGGCCACAGACGTAAAAGGACTGGTTGGCATAGCCAAGGGCGTCCATGACGGCGATGCAGTCATTGGCCATGTGGCTCTTGGCGTAGAGAGCAGTGTTGTTGGCGGGTTTGGAAGAGGCGCCATAGCCGCGAATGTCCATTATAACAAGGGAGAAGTGAGACGTGAGCTGACTTGCGACGGCGTGCCACATGTGGTGCGTCTCTGGGTATCCGTGCAGAAGAAGAAGGGGAGGCAGGGAAGAGGATGAATCAGACGACCGAATGCCGGAGATGGAGACATCGGGGGAGGATTGCGTCTGCACGGTAAAGGGAGTAAAGGTGGTGGAGGGGAAGAGAGTATAAGTGGCAGCCATTGTGGTGATGGACGAAGATGTGACGATGTTGAAATGATATTGGAAGTGACAAAAGGTCTAGGGAGCAAACGGTGGCCTGCAATGTATGTATAGGCTGGCTATGTCGTGAGACGTTGAAAAAGGTTTGATCAAGGGTGATTAAAAGAAAGGAGTATAGTCACGGCATCGAGGTGCCTCGGGCGTTTTACTGCTTGGAGGGGCTGCTGCATGAATAATACAACATGAGCACCCGTACCAATGCCACATGCAGCGCTCCGCTGAACCACTCCACCACGATGCCGAGCTCTGGGGTAATGCGTACTTGTACGGGAAGGACTGCTAGCGGCTCAGAATAGCGTGTCGAAGCAGTGCGTCATTCGCTCTTTGTACACTTGTCATAGGGGCGACGGAGGCGAGGAGACCAAGTGAAGAGGGGGCCCGTTAGTCTAGTATGAGTATGTCAGTACCTATTATGTGTGAAATCCGCATTACGGAAGAGGAAGACGCATGCACTTTACCAAGGGTACATGCAGCTTGTAGTAAAGTTCGGATGGCGTTCCGAGCTTTGAAAACCATTGCGGACAGCTCGCCAGCGATGTGAATTTCAAACATGGCGAGACAGCGGAATTCTTTCCCCGAGGATGAAGGAGGAGAAGAGACTTTTTTTTTTCCAAATTTCGATTCTCTTTCCTCTTCATAATCTGTGCGCTCATGTGATTTTCAGTCGCTGGGTGCTCTTTCCGTTTACCACTGACTGCTCAAAGTCAATGTCACGGTGATGCAACTTCAATGTTCCGAAACCGAAACTGTGAGCCATCGGCCCATCTTTTAGCCGCTCCCAGGGGGGTTCTCTTTCCTCCGCCCTGTTGCCAATCAATTGCTACTAAACCCACACTCCTAGCACTCGATCCGACTCAACCATTCTTCATCTCTGCAGACAAGGCTGAGGAAGGCCTAGACCCAGACGTTTGCGGTGCGGGATCATGAGTTGAAGCACCTACGAGGCCGCGCCCACCCATCGTCATATCCGGCCCCACTTGCGGAAGACTCTCTCACATGGCTCCGGTCCGTGGCCGCGCAGCCTGCGATGGTTGCAGATCTCGAAAGCAAAAGGTGAGAAAGAGACTGTGGAAACCGGTGGTGAGAGGCTTGGGACGAATATGCTGATTTATAATCAAATCATGGTTGCAGTGCGATGAAAAAAGGTGAGCATATGGCTTTTCAACACAGTTCAATGGGTTATCGAGATGTCGTGTCTTGTTTTCTTTTTCTCCATTCATCTGTGTAATGAGAATGAGAATCATGGCTGACCACCCTCTGCAGACCGACTTGTTCGCGATGCCGTGATATGAAACGGGAATGCGTGTGGCCCAAGCTATACAAGCGGTAAGACGCAACGCCAGCTCAGTAATCAACACGGCGAAATCCTTTGATCTGACGGCACATCTCAGTGGTCCTGCCAAGGGTTACATCGAGGCGCTCGAGCATCGTCTCGCAGTTACCGAGGCAGTGCTCCTGCAGCTCCTCCAGGTGTCAGATGACACGGTCCTACAAAACGCTTTCAAGCACGAGCCCAGCAAGCGGACAGACGTTTCAAGTACGGCTGCCGCCGCGACAACGACGGACGCGGCTGGCCGAATAGAGGCCAAGAAGACGGGCACAATCGCCCACTGGGACAACTTTCCCCTGAACACGGCAGACGAGGTAAAGCGCTGGGCAGGCGAAGTCCTCGGGCGCCCATCGGCATCAGACGACTTGGAGACAAACGGAACGGCCCGTGAAGACACCGATCCGAGGTCATTCAAGACATATCCCGTCCCGCCAGAGTCGCTGTCAAGGAACCTGCCCGAGGCAAGCTCGAGAGCTAGTGCCGAGGCGTTTCCACCACGGCCGATGGAACCAAGTCCAACTGCTACAGCTCTTCCCACGGCTGTAGAGCCTGCCTTGGCTTCTGCCACGGCTTTTGCAAGGGAGAGGGCGTCGGGCGAGGTGTTTGATTTGTCCCAAGACTTTAGACGACAATTTGTATGGTAGCTATTTTTCCCCCAGTTCAAATACCGTTATATATTTCATGTGCTAGTTTGTGAGACGCATTTTCATGTTACGATCATTCCCACGTAAATGATTGTGGATGCGGTCAGAATCAAATGATGTTGAAAATTGATGGCAGCATCCAGCGCAAGTCACACATCATGACGCCAAAAACATTACATATTATACAGCATAAAAATAAATAGGAAATTACGTTTTCACTTACACATTCAATCTGTCTCCCATGTTCTGAAAATACGTGTCCCATCCGGCATTGTTGAACAACAGCCCTGACGATTCCGGGTTCATGTTCTCGCTCAAGAATCGCTCCCACTCCCCTTGCTGGGAGAACTGATCTGCGTCGAATCCAAAATCTGGACCCGTGTACTCTAAAACGGGCTGGAAGCTCGGGTAATCCCAGAGGTTGTCGCCGCCCATGAATTCCGTGTCAGGTCCAACAAAGTGGTTGGCAGGATAGCCGCTCATGGAACCACCCATAAAGTTATTATTCATGTTGTTGTTGACGCTGCTGCTGCTGTTGTTATTGTTGTTTTTAGTGTTGTTTTGGTCAACTCGTCGCCGCTTGTTGCGGCTTCCCTCGAGAAGGTTCTGGTATGTTGAAAAGACAGGCTGGCTCCAGTCCGTCAACACGCTCAAAGACGGGTCTGCCGATAGGGCTGGGTTGATTTTTTCCATAAATGGCTTCGATGTTAATCTGTCCAGCAGCATCTTTAACGTTACCCGGCAGTGGTGGGCGCTGGTCCAATTTCGACTCATCATGCCAAGGAGCTTAATGGCACAGTTAAGATCCCTGCGATGAAGAAGAAGAAAAGTTAGCTTAACCCACTGGTGACGGACCAAGTTACCAAGGGCTCGAAAAAAAAAAAGAAAACAGCCGCAACATACAAGATAGTCTTCTCCATCGGGTAGAGCTTCAGCAATCCGGCGTACGAAATGACCAGCCCTGCCATCCACGCAGCCGATAGCATCCCGGGCCAGGCCACCAAAGGCGAATCCCCTTGGCGTAGTTTAAGCTTTTTGACAATGGCTCGGCTGGCATTTACCGCGGTTTGTAAACTGAATTGAAAATCGGTTCGATTCGTCGGGAGAGAGAGGAAAGGCCTGTTCATGATGAGGATGAGCTGATGGTATAATATCGCAAAGGGAGGTCCATGGTGGGATTGTGGTTCTACAAAGATGGATGTAAGACCCTCTCCCTGGAATGA